ATGGAAATCCATCTCAGTGCGTTGATAAGCTGCCGACAAATATTTGAGTCTGGCTGCTAGCCTGGCTTAACACGACAAAGTTACACTTCAGCCATTAAATCATTGCAATGAATGTGGTGTGAACATCATGGCTGTAGTATAAGAACAGGATTTACGTTATACCTTATATTCTACTTTGTACTCTGCCAGCTGCTTTTGTCTACAGTGTGGTCTTTAAGTGTGGTGGTGGCTTCCTGCAAACTGTGTGAGCCTTCTGGCCATCGGAAAAGTTTGTGTATATGTGTGTGTGTGTGTGTGTGTGTGTGCGCATTAAGGCAGGGTCATTGAGGAGTAATAGGATTGCTCGGCCCCGCTCCTTCTCTGGACACCCTGGCAAAGACAGGCCTCCTAAATCATCCTCACATCTCTGAGCAAGATGGAGGACCTGGCACCGCTTCTCCCCGCCCTCCGTCCCCGCTGCAGCCGTAACCGCTCGCCCCACCGTGGTGCAGATACAGCTCGCAGCCATGATTTCCCTCCAACCTCCAGGAGGACTGAAATAATATCTACTCAGCATTCTGTAAATATCCACTGGGAGAATGTACTCCAGTTCATCGCAGCTGTGCCACATTTACTGTTTATGAGTGCGGCTGCTAATCCTCAACTTCTGCTCTTTGTTATTGAACTTTTCATCTTGTGACTCCTCAGAAGGAAGCAGTGTGTGAGGTGAAGGAGCTTACTCAGCTGCTGTAATTCATTATTCATGTTCTGTACGCTCTTATTCCTGTTCAGGGTCACGCAGGGGCCGGAGCCACTTACACCTGATGTCTGCACAACATCCTTTGCAGACAAAAGCCCAAGATACAGAAGCAATGACTTCTTCTTTTTTTATTATTTAGGACATTAGAATAGTAAAGTTGAACTAGCAGAAAGTCACAAGGCAAGCTTTTGTGGTGAATGCAAACCGTCCCCAGGTACCAAAGTTTACCACAAACAAGATGACAAAAACTTGCCACAGGATTCCTCTAAAAAGCAGCCTGATGGTTGCAGTCCACCCCCCATAGAACACATGGAATCCAGCTTATTGTGAGCATGAGAGGTAAAAATCAGCTGGGCCGAGGAAGAGTAACACCAGAAGTTATTACTGATGCATTACGTTCCTTCTTTTTCTTCTGTTGCGGTGCTGGAAATGAACGTAGGACACTGAAGTCCTGCACAATTATGTATTTTACATGAACATTTGTGCTTTTTAATTCTACATCCCCCACATTTCAGTTAAACGTTAAATAATATCATTAATAGCTGCTTTGCTAATTAAGATATTACATTTAAACAACACACAATCATCTTATAAAACATGATTAATTGCTGCAGATTAAAGTGGAACAGTATATAAATTTAGTCAAATAAGCTCTACCCTGACTGCTGCTACATTAAAATTCTGCTTACAAATTAAAGTGTCAGGAGAAATCACATAATGCTCAAAGGAAGCTCCTAGTCTGCAAACTGAGTGCTCTTTTTATCCTTCAAGTATATTCAACTGATAAAATGTAGTGTATTATCGCTTAAAGTTACAAGGATAAGTATTTTATTGTGAAAGTTGTTGCTAAATGCCCCAAGCAGCCATTTAAGAAACAGTTTTGACCCTTCCATACTGGCTTTATTTGTCAGGCCCAGAGGTTGCTACTTGGCTACTGTGCCGCAAATCAGCCTCGCTGCCAGTTTTTTCCAGCACCTAGAAAAGCGTCTTTTATTTACATGACATCACGTACAATGTGGAAGCTAGATCACTGTTTTGACTCATGCAGCAGGCTCTGATTTTTATTCAGTGTCCTTTTTGAGTTGTGTATCTAATTTTCCTGATCAATAGGGTAAACACAGGAAGTTATTAGTTGGTGGAGACCAAAAACAGAGCTAAAAGCTGGCAAAGTCAGTGTTCACAGCTTGTTTATGCTGCACCCAAGTGGACAAAAACTGCAGGTTTGTATTTTTACACTGTGGTAATTATACTTAGATGTACAAAAAGAATCTTCTTCAAGAGTATGATCTGAAGTGGTGATCATCCTAAAAGTCTTTCTTTTCTACTGAAAACAGGCGGCGTGAGTGGAATTAGCTGCAGAGCGACGGTCTCTAAGTGAAACTGACGCCTTCTCTATAACAGATCATTCTATTGGAAAGTGCTGATGCTTTGATTCAGTTGGCTGTTAGCTAAGCTCAATTCAAAGCAGCTTTCAAACTATCAATTAGACAGATTTAGATAGTTATCATACGACAATAATTAGCTCCGCAATCCCAAATTTATCTTATCTGTGGCAGATAATTAATAAATCTGAGAATGTACCATGAATTCTCCGCTGTTTGTCATTATTCACTCAAGCCTCGCGGACTTATCTGCAAGAGTAGCACAGCTTTTTCCCTTCTTCTTCTTCTTCTAAGATATGATGGAATTTTTAATTTGGAATATTTATAGCTGTGCTTTTATTTCCCTCTCACCCCTCTTTCCCTCTCTGTCTCTGAGTTTTCACTTCTCATTTCGCAACAAGGGCCCCATGTGCCTCTATGTTCCTGTCACCATGACGACCAGAAGCGGAAGGGGCTATCTAGTTTTCTGTCATTGCATCTCACCAACAGACCTGCTGCTCCTGTAAACCAGGAGTAATCTAAAAGAGATAGGAGGACTTTTACAGTGTTTTGCTCCGACAAACAAAATTTACACTGCACCTTATCAAACCACCGACTCCGTTTGGTCTTATCAGCCGGTGTTTTGTCTCTGGCGTTTATACGTGGAATGAGCAGAATGGAGAAATATTTAGACGGATCCCACAGTGAACCTGGCGTGACGTACACGATCCTACAGTGAAGAAAAAAAAACATCTCCACAGTCGAGGTTTCCAGAGGCAAAACACTGCAGCGTGGAGAGCACGGAGAGATGAAAGCAGCTGGCTCTTTATTTATCAGGAGAAATGAACGCTGCTGTGTGCAGCCACTGCTGTCAATCCATCAAGATCTTTGTCAGCTTTTTCCTCTGGCAGTGCTGCTCAAACTGCAGCACCACAACTAATGGAAACAGGAAATCAAAGCATTAACAGACTTTAGCAATTTAATTGCCTCTGAAACAAAAAAGTGGATTAATGAGATTTCTTTTTTCTTTCTTTTTTGTGATAAAGCGTCCAAAACAAAACAGACAGGAAAAAAAAAAAAAAGAAAAAAGAAGTTGTTTAATTGCCAAGTCAGGGCATGAATACAGATCAGGACGGAGGGAAGGAAGAGGAGGAATTTAAAATAAACTGATTACCAGGCTGGATGACCAACTGGACAAAGTGGGCAGTCACCCAGGGGCCCCAAAGCCTCAGGGGCCTCAAGTTCACTGTGTGGCGATCATTTATTTAACGGACAGTGACAGTTATCATTTATATAGCGGCTAAGCCAGAGTCCAAATTTCAGCAGAGATTCAACAGAGAATTTATGGTTGCACCTTTCCTCATCAAAGTGAAGTGTCCACATGTGCCACACTGAAATATTACTGGAGGCTGGAATTCCTGCTGACCGAGAGATGATGATATACAAACATGTGTTTTGCATTTTAGAATTATAATGAATTTAAAATACCTTTAAGATCGTATGTACAACCTTGCACAACCACTGGATGGCACTAGAGAAGCGGCACCTCACACCACAACAAGTGGGCGTGTCAGCAACACCTCCCCCTCCCTTACATTTTACTCACAAGCAGAAAGATTGTGTACATGAGGGTCAACAAAAAGCATGCAGACAACCATTAGCCCGAACTAGCATAGCAAAATATACTGAACAGCTGTAGTGACTAGTTGTTTTACTTCACTTGTCTCTCCTTTTCTTGTGTGTTTGTTTCCATGGTTTCCAGGACAGGAGCAGAACTGTGGATGAAAAAATCACTCCTGTTTATCCATTAGTGTGTGGAAACAGACACACAAGCACGGGAGCTGAATAGAAACCTCAAAATATCAAAAGAGATGCTCACAATGAGCCAAAATGAAACCAGTGCAAAGTAATGAGTTAAATAACGTAAATTAAATCATTTGTTTTTTAAGTCTTTAGATTTTGGGGCTAAACTGCACTTATACTATTCTGACACATTGAGGAGCTCACTCTCACAATGTTTATAAATGCAGAGAAGACCAATAGTTTGAATGAGAGGCATTCACTTGCACTAACATGCATGCACAGCTAAACCAGCGACTGAAACGTAGAACAGAGAAGCTCAGATTGCAACACCAATGGGTGGAGTATCACATCATTCTCCACTAAGGACAACATTACCCTACTGTATCTATACAAAGCAGGCACCTGTAGTTATTTGCTGCTATTTGAATGTTCAAACTGTTGCACCTTTAAAGGGCATTTTTATGTTGACCAGAACAGAAAATATGAACATTTTGTTTTCCTCAAGTAAAAATATTATTTGACTATTTATCAGAGCAACACTATATGTACAAAATCAAGGCCTGTAACTGTTTAATAAGGACAAACAAGTTAGTAAATCACAACAGGTTGTTCTTAGTGTTACTAATTTTTATTAACATTTAAATACCCTCCAGGCAGGTTTAAGAAAAAAAAATGCTCTGCCTGGAATAATAATTGGCATCTGATAAGATTTGTATTCTCATTGAGCAAAACCCTCCATGTGTGAATATGCAAATATTGTTCTTTGAAAAGTTTGCTACTGAACACGAGATGCTTTCATTGAATCCTTTCTCACTGTCAGTGAAGTACAGGTGGCAGGTGTCCATATCACAAATTCCATGTCAGACCACGCGTCACTAAATGCAGCACGTCTGTTTGATGCTCTGATGTCAAAGTGTATCATCAAATGGACTCAAACTGAGATCACTCTTGTACATTCAGGTTTAAGGCGAGCACAGAGAAACTTTTCTTTCTCAGCAGATTGAAACAAAACAGCCTTTTAGTGTCAGACTGCACAGTGAAGCACAAACATGACAACATCAGAAAACACAAAGTAACAAACCCCAAAACACTCAGTATGTGTGTATTATGATTTTTTTTTATTATGAGAGAAATATGCCTTTACATTGTTCATCACCCCGGTGGTGAGAATAAAACATAAATAAAACATTCTTACAAAATGTTGCAATAAATCACAAATCAAACAATTAATTTTTTACATTTGATTTGTTTTATACATAAATCATATTTACACATTTGCCCTTTTTTACATTGTTGAGAATGAAACGTCTGTGTACCATTTGTATAGTACAGACACTTCCTTCGTTTCAAAGCAGAGGTATAAAAGCTCTCCTCTCTCTCCTGAGGAGACGCTGGGTTCTACTCTAGTGCATTTTATCATTAAGATTTAAGGCTACGCAGGGTTCACCTGATGGACACACTCGTCTCTTACGGACAGGCTTATCATCATCGTTTTCCCGACTTGCGTCTGCTGATTGTCCCTTACAGAGACAGGTTTGTGGTTCTGTTGGTCGCTCCCTCCAACCTTTATCCCCCCCACATTAAAGCTGCTGCTGACTGGTTCCACTGAATAACCAATTACAGTCTCTGACAACTTATTTGTTTCTGCAGTCAATTACAAATGCCGTGGGGAAAATGTCACAGAGTGTGAGAGCCCACGCTCATCACATTATCTCTGTACGGCTATGACCTGCTGAGAAAAATATGTCAATTTCTCACAGCAGGGAGAACATAGGAAAAAAAAAAAGAAAAAAGGAGGAGATCATTTCATACTTTGTGGTTGTTATTGTGTGAGGGAGGGAATTTATTTAGTTATAGGTGCAGTGCTCCCTAGTGGTCAAAACACACCTAAAGCGACAGAGAAAAAAAAAAATCCCATTCCTCTCTGTTTCTTTGACAGGATTACACCAAAGCCATAAACAAAAGACATGAAGCAACTAATTGGCAGGCCCCGTAAGCCTCTTACAAGACACACTATAATAAACCAGCCTGGACATGAAGTCAAATCCTCAACACAGACGGGGAGTTAACAAACAAGCACTTAAACATGAGACAAAAGAGGCAGCAAGGAAGCAGTTCAGTGTCGCCGCTCTTCACGGGTTAAGGATCCTTCTTTAACTTCCTCTGTTTCTCCTTCCTACCTGTCCAGCAGGTAGTTGTGTGGCCCACAGTGTGGGCTTAGTGGATTTAAAACACAGGCATAAACATTAAGACAGATCACCTTGGAAACACTCCATAAAAGCTACCAGCCTCTTCTTTACTGCTGAACCGCAGCATCTTTTATCTACTAGAACACATTATCTCTCTTTGGATCATCGTTGCTGCCCCCGATTAAAAAAAAAATCCACTGAATACAAAGATCTCCTTGATTGATATCTCACACCGACAAAAATAATGTTTGAACATTTTAGGACCAAAGTGCTTAACAACACTGATGAGTGTTGATTAATGTAAAATGATCAGAGACTCAGGTCTAGTCATTAAAAAGGGACACATAACATGTTTTAGTTAATGTCCTTTCTCATTTTTCCTAACCAGCTGCTTTGTGCCTAAATTAACAGCCTCCATTTCCTAAAACCATCAGCCGTGTGCGTCTATCGAGTCTATTATCAGAAGTGAAAGACGGAGACAGAGAAAGTTGAACTCTTTAACAGACAGAAGCCATTAGTATGCTACCTGCAGAGTTACATGCAATTAAAAAACGAAGGAAAGCCCCGCTTGTCTGCGTTCAGATGAAAGATGAGGGCTGCATAAAAGCCCATTGACAGGCAGATAAAGCGAGGATCAAGCTAATATCCATCCAAGGCTCTAAAACACACTAAAGGATATGAATTGAGCCATTAGACACAGGGAGATATGTCTCAATCCGTTCATTACTGTTGAGCCTAAAAAATACACACGCTCATCTGAAGAGTTTCACTCCAAAATGGAGATATCCCTAATTCAAATAAATTAAAACCTCGTCAAGCAACGTGATTGATGGCTTGAAGTCATCGTCGAGGATTACTTCAGTTATCATGTGCCAGCTCCATTATGCTGACAAACTGGAGACAAAATTAGGGGATGCTATCACATCCGAGTACAGGAATGTCAGCCTGCGATTTCCTTTTATTGCAGAAGCATCTTGGAGTGAAACACTGGAACCAACACTAAAACAGCACTGGGCTTTCTGGATTAAGAAATGTTACTAGGACACATATTGCCTTCTGGGGCTTCAGTCTTCAATTAACTGTCAATGAATATGATTAAGAGTGAGGCGTTTGCAGTGCCACATGGAGCCTGCTGACTTTCATGTCTGTTTCTGAGTGGCATTTGGACACGGCTAGTACGTGCAGTTGAAGTCACATGGAAAAGGCCCTGCTTCTGTAAATTAACATAACAGCCTGCTGGTGTGGGGCTTGATGCCAGGATGGACTGTTGAAAAAAGTCGACCCTAACAGACAAGCAGACAGAGAGGCAGTGAAGCCTTGGTCGAGCTTGAGAGGCAATTCACTGTGAAATGCTTTCAGTGTGATACTGAGCTGTCAAAAAATGTCTGATTCTTCAAAATGAAGAAATTCTGACCATTTCTTTGGAAAAAGGAAAAAGGCTTTTTGGACAGAGAATACCCAAAAGTGCACAGCTAATCCACACCCCCTATTTTTATGTACTGCGAGTGTATGGATGAATGCCTAAACGCACACCATGACAGAATCCCTAAAATATTCTATTTTCCAAAAACTAAAAGCTGTGGACTCCAAACACAAGAAAATACATTTCTCAGCTTTTTCTTGCGTGTACTGTTAAATTGTTCTACGTTATGATATGGAAAATTCACTAAAAGCCTTTTCAAGGTGCCAAATAGCCTGGCAGTACACTGCAGTATCACATACTGTACAGTATGTAGAGGAATGTACTTGGCAGTAACACATTCCTCTGGGTGTCTGAACGGCAGGATGGGTTCAGGATGATGATGAAGAGGAGGATGAGGAGGAGGAGGACAGCCACTTCTCTCAGCAGAAGAAGATCTCTCCATCCAGAGAAGGCTCTGGGAGGTGCTGGGGGTCTGGAAGGAGGAGAGGAGAGGCATCAGTGTCACCGTCATTTTGATTTGTGATCTGTCGTGGGGAGATTTAGTGAGCAGCAGCACCAAGCTCCACACAGTACCATCAAGAATTGTCAAAAGCTGCCATGGTGAGCAGCTTAATATGCTGCATGTTAGCTCACTGCTCATATCACAGCCATCAGTTCACACCTACAAATGTATTTGTATTCTCATATGACTTTGTGCTTCTCATATCAAATACGTGTTATGCTTCTTCTACTGTGTCTCTCATTTTATTCAACGTGCTGCTGATCTGTAAACATAGGGAGACTGAACTCTTTGTAAAAACAGCTTTACAGCAAAATATACATGCAGCTGTGCAATATTACTTCATTTCATAAACTCCTGCTCATGCTGCGAGGGTGTTTAAGCTCCAACTCAAATGTAGGACAGCTGAATTATTTACTTTTCTGACTGGTTTAATATTGCAGCAAATCTAAGCTGTGTCTCAGACCCATATGATACCCTAAGCAGGTTGGATTATGTAGCGAGTTCAAACCCTTTTGGTTTGATTAATGCTGTTCTTACACAATGCAAAGTCAAAGGAGAAGCTCTAGAAACACCTCAGACAACAGATTCTACACCAGCAGCAACGTGATCAGACTATCATGTGTGCTGTTTAAAAAAGAAAACTGTTGTCAAGTGATTTATAATCTAAATTAACAGCAGTTAAATTATGATCTTTTAACGGCTGAAATGCTTTCCACGTGTGGTGATTATCTAACTACTACTTTACAAACTGTAAAATAAAAATATCCTGACAGCTGATGAAACTCAGGACTCAACCTGAGGATGGCTGCTGATCCTGATCGATCCTGTTTTCATGTCAGGGATAATGTACAATTACAAGCAATTAATGAAGTTAAAGCTGTTGTTACTTTTGCATAAATTTCTCTCTTGTGTTCTCTGTGATGTCTTTGGACCAATATCGGTGCTGAAATGTGGAAAAAGTCCTCCCAAAACCACTTCACATAACTCAAAGTTCTATTAATTGAATGTTGGTATTTGTTAATTTGACTACATGCAGTTCAGACTTGTGCTGCAGTTAAAGTGATTCAGGAATGTTCTCGGTCTGAATGAGTCAGACTACCATTGCGACATTTATGGAAAAATGAGCAGGCTGGTCATTTAGACACGAAGCCGGCACATTGACATTCTGTCAGATTAACAGAAATGAAAGAGGCTTAACAAATATCCATACCACTCACAGACCTAAATTAGCTCTTTTACATTTCTCTGTGTCTCCTTACAGGATACGCTCACAATTTTTCAGTGTTTTAAAACAATAGCTCGGCCCCCATATGAACACTGACAAAGGTTTTTCTTGCTGTAATCCTTCTGCCTGTGCATACTGGACCTCCTCATGCTCTTCCAAGGGAGATAAAATCCACAGTCCTCATTTAGTGCAAAAAAAAATGTATTCCAGTGTCTGCCAGAAGCATATATGAGGCTTCAGAAGTCTGATTTAGTTCAATCAAGAGGGTATCTCCTAAAATAACTTTTAGTCTAAAATTCCCTGTTTTCCGAGAGTGTGTTCGTACTGAGCAGCAGTGGAAGAATACTAACAAAAAGAGGGAATTTTGTACTAAAACAGGATAACTTTGGAAGATTTCCCCTTTGTTTGTGTAACTCAGACATGCTGAAGTTTCATGTTAGCTTCAGATAAAACTTGGAGTATATTTTTACACAAAGGGAACGAGTGTGGATTTTGTGCCACATCACTTACAAGCACAGGAGGAACAGTCTTGACAGAATTGTGAACCTCACCTTTATTTAATACAATAGAATTGTGAGTTTAACATGAGCAGTTCAGCAGAAATAAACTGTGGAAACATTTAAACCTTCCTGGGTCAAACATAAACTCTCATAGGTAATATTGTCATAATAATAAAGTTCTTTTGTCACTCATCAAAGTCAGAGCGAACAGCACTTATTTGGGCTGGTTGTTTGAAAATTTCCACTGGGAAATAGATGATCTACCCAGAATGCACTGTGGCACGAATCACAATGATAAAACCTTGAAGCTTTGCATGCAAACGGCTATAGAGCCGACGTATTCATTCTCCTCTTTCCATTATCCATCTAACCGCGCATCCACCCATCACATCTTCTTTTCAATACTAACCAAACATCGTGTGTCTGATCTGAAGCGTCCTTGACAAAAACACAAGCTCCAACTTGCTGACTCATTGTAGGACACTGAATAATTCAGCTAAATCCATGCAGTACCGCCTCTTCGCCGTTCTCTACCTGCTGACTGTGCGCTCCCTCCTTTGCCCTTCTTCTTCTTCTTCTCCTTCCCGTCTTTGCTCTTGTTCTTGGCCAGCTGCAGGAGGCTCTTTGAGATCTGGTTGTTGGCTTCGCTGCCCTTGAGGTTAGTGGAGGATGAGGTGAAGGGATTGAGGCCTTTCCCTTTGGCCTTGGTCCGCTGGGGCTGCTGTCTGGGCAGCGAGGAGGAGAGCTCCAGAGGGTCCAGCTCCAGAGAGTGAGAGCTGCCGGGGAACTCATCAGACGTAGAAGAGGGAGTCCTCTGGAAGGAAACGAAGGAGAGTAGACAGATGAACAGCTGCTGTCTACATCTGTGAGTGAATATGTATGAAAGGTGCATATTTTAACGTTTTAATGTTAATAAATGATGGGCATAACTGTTTCCAACAAAGTTCAATGCAAAGAAGAAAATGTAAAAATGTTTATGTACACACACACAGATTTTGGCATTAAAGCCTGGAAACATGACTCGGCTGTTTGGAGTGTGATGCAGCAGTGCTTGCTGGTTAATACATTGCCAAGAGCTTTTTTAATTTAACTTTCAAGAGGACCCAGGTTCAAGCCTTTGCTTTAAGCATCTATAAACATCCACGCTGCTGAAGTGTCATTGAGCGAGTTACCGAACCCCTCCCAGCTCACTAAGTGTTCCCCTGCAGCCGAGGGGGTGACAGAAGTGGCAGTTTTCCTGCAGGGATCAGCAGATCATGTCATCGGAATTTGTAAAACTTCCCTGCTTACCTCAGACACCCGGACCTCCTCCATCTTGTCGAGCTGTCGCTGCACAGCCTCCCTGTCCCTCTCCAGCTTCCTCTGGGCGTCTCTCAGCCTCTCCAGGTCTTTCTGGTACTCCTCCTTCCTGCTCTGCAGCTCTTGCTTCTCCTCCTCCAGCTCTCTGTGCTGCTTCAGCATCTCCTCCTCCTGCAGTGGTTGGGAGGCACATTGATTGATTTATTGAAAAGACACAAGTTGGAAACATGAGACATGCTTTTAGGACTGGTAGAAATGCGTCGTTTCAATAATTAATTCTCTCTTCATGCCAAAGAAACGTAGAATTGTAGATTTTGCAGAGGCTGGAAAAAGTTATTCTGTGTCTGCTCATATTTCTACTAGTAAACATTTACATTGGAGGAACTTTACTTGAGCATTTCCAATTTGCAACCATAGAGTTGTACTCACACAGTCAAAAGGATTTATTTTTTAAACTCAACTACATTAATTTGAAAACTTTAGTTACCTGTTGCTTTGCAGTCTTCGATTAATAATCAGTCAAAATTTGAAAAGATAAGATGTAAAAGGCCATAAGTAAAATTGAAAACATTAAGTCATGGAAGATGAAATACGATTGTGGTAATTTACAGCAGCTTCTCCTCCTGTTGTTCAGCCTCTCACAAGTCATAAGCAAATTCTACAGCAAAGTGCTAAGTTTAATCTAATCATAGAGTGAGGTCTTTTTATTACCACTGCAATGCTTTTGACACTGTAACTTTCATCTCAGTGAAACCAAAGACAGTTGTAGAATTTTTAGGGTTTTTCAGTCAAAGCTATATTTTTAAGGCAGCCTGCCATCACTAATAGCACTGCAGGAAACTCTGACTGTCTTGCACAACTACACATTGTAATTTGTCAGGTAAAGCACTGCACACAGTGAATTACTCCAGTATGAATCCATCCCACTATTGAGAAAAATGGCAGGGGTAACATTAAAAATTACAGCCGCCAAGAAACATATTAATAATAAACAGACCTAGTAGAAGATGATGCATAGCTACCTGTACGTGCACCAGGGCCTCTCTTTCGGTGAGGTGCTGTTCCCTGAGCTCCCACGCCTTCTCCCTTCTCCTCTTCTCCTCAGCATGAGCTGCCTGTTGTCTCTGCAGGGATGCCAGCTCCTGCCGCTGCTTCTCCAGGCTGCGCTGCTTCTCCTGCTCAATCAGCGAGCTGGGCCGCGAGGACGGCCGCGATAAAGACGTGCAAGAGGAGGAGCGCTCGCTCAGGGCCTGCCGCTGGTCCTCTATGAAACTGTCCTGCTGGACCACCACCGCCTGGGTCGGACAGAGCCAGAGATATTAGGACGGACACCTCTCTCGGTGCTGTCACATTTGGCTCTTCAAGATATTATTATCCCTGTCTATATGGCTGTGTTCACACTGTACCACAGATGACCTCAATTCAGATTTTTTTTTCTTCTTGCTTCACACATGAAGACAGACGTTCAAATTTACATTGACAGCAATCGCTTCACAGAGTTGCATCATCTCAATTCTGATCTGGAGGGCATGCATGCACTGTAATGCCCTGTATGGAAATCATCGTACCTGCAGCGTGCTGAGCAGGAGGTGCAGGTTGGAGACACTGTGGAGGACCTGCTGTTGGAAAAGAGACAACACTGAGTATCATACAACATCGAAACATCCTGCTGTGCTCTTGTAATATGGGAGAAAAATCCATTGCACGAGGAAAACGGTTTTATGTTGCCTTGCTTATTGCTGCACTCGACTTTGCTTGTTCAAACACACCATTAATGGTAAAAGTGCTTCATGTAATGGGAATTTACCACACAACTTTTAGATAAATCCAACACTGACTTGAGTTAAGAGAGATGGGACCTTTTCTCTTTGCAAACACTGATAGAGGGACAGGGACACTGACCTTTTGTTTGCCACTAGTGTTTACTAGGACATAAAAATGATCCAAATAATGTTACTGGGAACTCCATAAAAAGCTTTTATGAGACAGCACATCAGGAGATAGTGTTGTGGCATCCCACAGAAATACAGAGAGGCTGTCTGTACGACAACAAATACCGAAAAATAAATGATCAGACTGCACAGCTGCAGGACTTCTACCTTCGTTGACTTAACACCGTCGCCAAACATTCTGAGAACTTGAAGCCATTTTTTACGTATCTGCTTTTCAAGTGTTTTGGAAAATATATATGCGAAATGGAGGCATTTAGTGAAATATCCACAACTAGTGGATGGATTGTCATGGTATTTGGTCGAGATTTGGTCCATGAGCATTTGGTCCATGCGGCTCAACTACTAGATTAGATTGGCACTGCATTGCTTACAGATACAGTATTACTGGCTTCCTTAGAATGAATTATAATAACGTTGGTGATTCTCAGATTCTTCCCGTAGCATTATTATGAGGTCAAAATTTGAATTTTCACACTGCTTTGCTTTATGACAAAATGCTTTATTTCCATCTGCCTCAGTGGTTCTGTGTGTTTTGTGCAAATTAGCAAACATTAGCATGTTAAAACGCTAAACTCAGATGAAGCCCTGGTCTGCCAAACAACAATTGTAATTAGGGTGTTAACTTGCTAAAGCCTGAATTAAGTAAATACAGTTTCACATAGCTGCCAGTGTGGCCGTTGTCTCGCATTCACTGTTCAAAGTGTTCTTTAAAATATGTGTGACATAAAGGATGCAGTCTGCAATACTAGAAAAATGTTGTTGATGGTTAGTTAGTAATGATATTTAGACAGCTAGCATGTTCCCGATTTACAATCCGTCTCCCTTCCACCCTATCTCCCCCCTCTCACCCTGTCCTGTGCACGAACATGAACAGAGCACACTGGGAGAGTGTAGTGTGGATCGGTTTGAGCCACTTAGTTTGCTTCCCATTTACAGAGCCAGGACTGTGTAAAAACACTTTTGAGCATTTTGAGCAAAGAATTCTAAGACACGTTCTGGACATATGAGACTTTCATTAATTTGGTAAGAAGGGGAACAATATGAGACCTTTAAAGACTATATTTTTCTTTCTTGGTAACTAATACTGCTGCTGTGTTTGAACTGCTTGGGATTCTTGCTCACTTTCATCTTAATTTTAGTTTAAAATTCATCTTACAGCTTCTCTTGTCTTCATTAAATGGCTTCTTCCTCTTACAGTTTACTTTGCCACATGTGTTTTGGCTGTCAGCTGGAGTCATTCTGCTTTTTATTGCTTGGTTTAGTGTTGCATAATGCTACAAACATGGAATGGTACCACTCCATCATCTGTGGTTTTACTGCTGTTTCAGCTAATGAACTGATTAATGCCAAAAACAATGATGTTGACAAAGAGTTTTGACAGTTTCCATGTAAACAGCAGCTCTAATTGAGTTAGTGACAGGAAGTCGGTGTTACCTCACTGTTCTTCTTCAGCAGCAGCAGCAGGTTGGCGTTTCCTCCCTGCACACAAACATGAGCACACAGTAAGTAAGCAAGAACATGGTGATGCTCTCACATGCACACATCTGCTGGTGGGTCTTTTCCTGTATACTGTATGTGTACATCGGTCCATATACTGTGATTTGCTGCGTGAATGTGATTAAAGCTGCACATGTGGGTGTGCTGCAAAATCTAATTGTATCCGGCTATGATTATGTATGAGTCATACAGTAATACAGCACCCTGGCAGCTTTTTTAAAATTAAGATGAGTTGAACATCTCTAAAAATGTATTTTCCATTTACAAAGAGGAACACAAACGAAAGTGAATACAATAGGAAATGGAACGGTTGAATTAACGGCATTGTATTTTTAATGATGACTCTGACTTCTACACAGCCTTCTTCTTTTACTGCTGAACTGTCTCTGAACTTTGGCTCCGTGCCCAGGATAAAATGTTCAGAAAAAATCAAATGCTTCCCTTTTGTTTTGTTCAGGGAGCAGGATTTACAAGGAATGTCCTGGAGACTAGTTTGCTCAGGGACCAAAAAGCTGCTTTTGTTAAACCACACATTACAGTAGCTTGGCTCTGCTAAAACATTCACGAAACAATTACGTGCAGTCCAGCTGCTGGATGTATGCAGGATAACTGACTACAAAGGCTAGCGTACGGTGCAGAGATATAATAGCAGCACCTAAAGGCGGTCCATTCATTTTCATCCACTATTGAATTCTTACACAACGGATGGTCGCCATTAGCAACGGGACCTGGCAGGAAGAGTCAAGAGGCTAATTCACTGGAGGGAGAGAAGCATCTAAATTCATCTTAATGGTATTGTTAATGTTGGAGGACAAATACACCCCCACACATGCCCTCAGGTTCTATCTGCGACGTCGGGGCATAACAGCTTCAGAGTTACGAATAATTGGCTGCTGAGATACCAACCTTCTTTAAAACACTGTCAGACTCTGTCCTGCGCAAATCTCCTGCCATATCCTCGCTCTCGTCTCTGTCTCCACCTGACAAAAAGGGAAACCACAAGAGAAAAGATGAATCAGTCAGCGAAGAATACACATTGAAGAACAGGTGTGGTGCAAAACTCTATGAGAACAGGGGCACAATGCACAAATGGTGATCTTACATGCAGAAACTATGCCTTAAAGATAAAATAAATATGTATGTCTGGTGAAAAAAATGAATGTTTTATTTGATGTTGCAGTTCTTTATGTAAGTGAATGTGAAATAATGTAGTGATGATTAACAATGTGTATCAACCTCAGCCTGAAGCTGGTCATATCAGATCAACACCCACCTGCATGGACTAAAATCTATCATGTTTTCACAAATACTGTTTTTTTTTGTTGTTGTTTTTTTACCCTCTTTATTTTATGGAAAGGGGAAAACTGTAAAAATTACATCTGAAGATTTATTTCTGACAGGCCTTACAGGCATTTTGTGTTTACTAGTAAAAAAAATGTGCACGCTGATTATAGTGAATATCTATGTTTATCACAAACAGACATGATACAGATAATCCTGGGTGGCTCATGCTTTTTATACTAAGTGCTCTTCCTCGGTGGCTATCATCTCCTTGGGTGAGAAAAAGCATGTGAATCTATCACATACAATGATCCTATTCATGGAAAAAAAAAAAACATTTGGTTGCTCTACAGTGGAAAGAACAGACTTACAGATAAGATCGGAGAACGACTCAGACACACAAGCTTTCTGCCAGTCAGTAGACAGACAGTGAACTTGTTTTGATGTTTTTGACACGTGATGCTGTGATTATCAGCCGATTGATTTCATCATCAGGTGTCTCTGATGTTACAGTCAGATGATTCATTGTCATGTTAGAAACTGTTGGTTCTTAGATGGAAGATATTTAAAATATTAGAGAGCATAGCCAACTGTTTACAATGACCATTTATGTTAATGTCGCTGTTAAAGTGCTATTATGAGTTATGTTTTCAGTACCATTACATAAACATTACCCAGCCAGATTTTATTAAATGTGGTGGAAAGGATGACCATGGGAAGAATTGATAACATTTTGGTGCGGATCTGGATCAATTTTTTTTTTTAATTGCAGGATAGGCTATTGAACTTGTTCAGGCCTGTGCTCTTCAAGCGAAATTCTGGTTTACACTTTGACTTCCTTTGTATTTTATTTCCTCCCCACTCACACAAATTCTTTAAAAGTCTACATGTAATCTAAAACGTGAATGCAATTAAACTGATCCTAATATCACAGACACAGCCACACATTTTGTCTAACTGCTATAATGTCTTGACAGTCTGTAGTGTTTACATTTGTTATGTTTACGTACTGAATCAAATAAAGGCTAAAATACAGTTGTGAAAGACAACACACTGATAAAGGTGTCATTGTTTTGCATCAGTTCTCCAGGTACTGTTATGGATGTAAAGATCTGGAACTTTTATGGCTCAATATCTGCCGCACTTTCAGCTTGCAAGCCAACAGTTCAGAGGTATCGCCCCAGGCCACATTTCCCCCAGGAAGCTTCAGCTCTGCTGTCCAAGCCCCCGTCTAAAATGTTTTATCTAACTGCACTGAACAGGAGCATTGTGGGAAGTGCTGAGTGTGGTGCCTGCTGTTAAGGGACCACCAAAAATCTGTTTTAAGATGAAAAATGAAATATTTTACTTTTAACACTGTTCTGGGCTTTCAGCAGTGTCAGCACACATTTGCAGTCCAGTCACTGAGTCAATGCAGTTATCTGGACAAGCAGGTGGGGGTTCAGCATGTTTCACTGTTACAGGCTAACCACCAGACTGGATTGCACAATCTTTCTGTGAGAAACGACATCAGCACACATCCAGAGCAACAGACTTACTCTTACTGCTATGCATCTGGTGACTGTCGAAGCCTCCGAAGGTTTCGGCCCGACGGGGCAAACACACCGGCCCTGCCCCTCCTCCCTCCTGGACGCTGGCCATCGCCCCTCCCAGGCTGCCGTTCACCAGCGCCTGTAGCGTCTCCACTGTCATGCACACACAAACAAACACACACAAGCAAACATCAATGTTGAGGTCAGTAAGTGAATTATCTCTGCTAACTGTGTTACAGTTCAGCTCTGCATGAATCCTAGCAGGCACTTCTGCTTTCAACCTGGTACTGGCTCCTGTTGCTAAGCAACTATTGACAACCTGTTTGAACCAAAGGAGCTCTTTGGTTACTAAAAGCTTAACTATCGTTGCAATCTGAAATTCATATAAACTCTGGGAAGACGGACATGTTGCAATAAGCATATGGTGTACACTGTAGACGCAGCACTGTGACCTTTCCGGTGAAAATCAGGCGAATCCAAGCTGCTGCTGGGGGATGCAAACTCACAATAAAACACAATAACCTCAGGAGGAGAAATTACATTACTGCTGCCAATTCACATATCAAATAAGGACAATTACTGCTCCAGGCTTTAGGAGGAAGAGGTGAAAAAGACATTCTGTAGAAGTGTAGCTAAACATTTGCTGCTAGTTTCAAAAGTGAAAATCATTAAAGAAGTTCTTCTTCACACATCTATTCTCCATGAGAGCTGCAGACTACTTCTCTCTCAATTGTCACATAGTTACCAAACCTGTAAACTGCAAAACAAATCCTTGGTATTTTTAACCAATTTTGTCTTTTTGTGGGACACTCTTGGCCTGCAGATGTACTTAAAAATCAGGGAGAGCTATAAAAGACTTCCTCACATAGCTCACAGCTCTGACCACTACAGTAACTCAACTCTTTCACAAGGAAACACCTGCTGCCTGTCAGGAGACTGTAATTTTATTGTTGCACATTTTTTTAAAAGGAAAGCAAATAAGTCAATGTTTCCGCTACTAATTATATTGTTGTCTGGACAATAATTACGACTACAACAAATCAAACTGTCCTGGAAACAAGTGACATTAGGTTTTCCTTCAGAATACTTTTTTGTCACACACAACCTTGAAACACTTGCAATGTGTGCAAAACTTTTATTTTTCAGTCTTTCAAAAATGTTTCCAGACCCAGTTGTTTAAATTTAAAGTCATCTTAATGGGCAGAGAATGCAGTGTGCTTCGCTGTCTTTCTCCACATTTCCTTTCTCTTTGTCACAACATACAGTAGCTCTCTCAGTTCACTTCTTAGCTCATACTTCTTTCTTCTCATGCACATTTGATGAACAGGGCTGCCAAGCAAACTGGAATAAAATCCCAAAACACACCCTGACTTCCTTTAATGTTTTCTATACACTTTTTTAAAATCATCCCATAACACAAACACTCTTTCTTAAACTTCCGCTCTCTGAAGCTCTGTTGAGATCTAACTACCAAGCCAATTAGTTTTGAAACAGAGTATACTTCCATCTGAAAGATCTGAATGAAGAAAGAGGTTTTCTTGCCATACAATTCAGATCTGTGTCATGCAAAATTGATTAGTAGTGTAGGGCGTCCAATTTTTGTTTTGGATCAAGGATTAGTGACCATGAATCCCTCCAGATGGTTGCCAAAGTAGAGCCTATTCACATGCCGACTCAAAAATGAGTGGTAGGGAAAATTTATGCAAATTGCATTGTAAACTGTAGATGAAGCTGGCTGAAACCGCCAACATGTGCCAGTAAAACTGTGTCCAGATGCAAGTATTTCTTTACAAACAATAGGGCTTTTTCACAGCAACATTTTTGACTTGTCACACCATAAAAACCACAAGTCTAATTAATGATATGAATCAGCTACACAGTATGGGTGCTTCAGTTTTGCTATTTTGCTTTGCGGCTCGCTGGCAAAGCTTAGTTGGACACTTGATATGGAATGGAGCCATCATTAATTTCATTTGCAACAAGTGAGTGTTTTTCCACTGTGACAAGTCGTAGTTTCCCCTGTGAGAAAAAAACTATCGCACAAAAAACCTGCTAAATCTGCTGTATTGATGGTGGTGGTGGTTTAATTTAATACATGCAAAAGATTATGCCATCGATCCCTCATGTGAAGCCCGTTGTGAATTGCTATGCACACTACTAACAGATAGTGGTCATGCTATCAGCGGTAACTACTGATGAATTTGCCGGAAGAAACTGCAAACTGGTCTGTTACTGTTATCTGTAACTACCGATGGGAAAAAAAAAAAAAAGTCCTATTTCTCGCTCTCTTCTCTGTTCTGAGGTACAACCATACAACTCATGAGGTTTTTGAGCTTTCTTTGGTATCAGAGTAGTCCAGGGAGTTGTCTGTATATCAAAACAGGAACTATTGTACGCTGGTTAATTCTACACACTTTTAATGGTGCCAATCTGAAAAATATCTAGAAAATGTGGTTTAAGGTGCACTTCCTGTTTACGAGGGGGTTGAGGAACGTGGGGTTTGGAGCCAGGTGTAAAAATGACGCCCTAACATGCTGCTATGTTATTTCATGCTTCCTTGCAAGAATGAAAACATCATTACATGCCAACAATGTGTCTACAACCACAGCAGGAACTTCATACAGCATGTGGGTGGCAAAGCATGTGTGACATTTCTGCAAGCTGACAACATTGACATTGCGTATTTGTTAATTTTGAAAACCTTGTGTGTTCATGTTAAATGTTTCAATCATAATTTACCATGATATGCATGAATGGAAACTGAGAAAAGGTGCTGTCTGCCTCACTCTAGCTTCAGTCCATTCTGTATTATTGCTATGAACACTCAATGAACCCTGCGTCTACAGCGTTGTAGTATTGTAACCCCGTCTCTTCCTCTGTTTTACCTTCCTGCAGGGCATCTTTCATGATGGACGCCCCCCTGGGTGGCTCCAGGCTGCAGGCTGACCGAAAGAAAGGCTCGACCTGCCGGCAGGCCTCTTCACCTGCGTTCAAGCCCTCCCACATCCCTCTGAAGAGCCGCACCTTCTCCTCCAGCAGAGACATGATCTCTGTATCCTTCTGCCGCAACATATCTGACCAGCAGAGACAGACACACAGGAAGACAGGCAGACAGTGAGGAAAACATTTTGTGGCATTTGGAGCAAATGCATGTCTGCTTTCTTTCACACAAACACAATGAACGTGCTTCTCTCACCTCTCATCTCTTTGGCTTTAGTCTCCAGTTGTCTCTTGTCATCTTCTGTCTCACTGGGAATCCCTTCATCCTCATCCTTCTCCCTGTCCAATCAGGGAATAAACAAAAATAATGTACTACATCTAGCAAACAACAATTAAACTGATTAATCAATTAACTAATCAACAAAAAGCAATCACCACAGACGTTGATATTAGAAAAAATATTGCAAGTCATTTATCAAGCACAAATGCAGAACATCTGTGGGTTTTGGCTTGTGTAAATATTGTGTAAATGTAAATGAGAACTGCTTTCTCTATAAATTGAGAATTTGGAACCTTTGTATTGTAAGTCAGACGAAAAACAATCGATTTGAAAATGTCAGCTTAGGCTCTGGGATATTTTGAACTATTTTCACCATCTTCTGGCATTTTTCAGACATACAGACTTCTCTAAAAAGAAAAGACTAATGAAAACAATGATTAGCCTTAGTCCTATCTACAAACAACCACTATGTGTAACAATACTACCACAGGACAACAGACAACCCTGGGAGTATGTGATGTTTTTTGGTAGAGAAGACAGCCAGACCATCACTTTTGTTTTTATCTCTATTCCTGCCAATAGCTTGATCTCAATTTTGTGTTTTGACAGAAGTCAGACAGGGAGGGAGCGAGACAGAGTGCTAAATCTCTCTCCTTCCCGCTGGCTGCATTCGAATAATCCTCTGCTTATAGTGAGCTGCCCTTGAAGCCAATCCAGCATTAGACTGTCCCTGAGTACATCCCATCCCCAGGTAGAGTAGTGCTAATCCCCCTGACAGCACAGTTCTCTGTCACAACTTCCCGTATATTACTATCTAGAGAGCTGGGCTGGGTCTAACTCCTGGTTTACAACACAGATACACCGTAGGTAAACTCTAAGAGGCCAGCCTGAGAGTAAAGCACCGTGAAGACTGAGTTTGTTTGGCAGCAGAGCTTACAGGTTAGAGAAAATGGGGAAGATTAGGTCAGAGTGGAAGTTTGGGCTTACATGCTGGAGTAAAAGTTTGAATACAAAATTTTAAAATACTCCTCTGGGAACTGAAAGCCCTAAAGCTTATAAATATTAGCATATTTATCCCACAAATGTATTAAAGCAGAAACACTAAAATGCGCACACAAATGAACGTCACTTACATGGACTGCATGGCTTCCTGGATGAGCTGCATCCAGGTGTTGCGTTCGTCCCTCGAGCTGGCCAGAACCTCCATCATCTCCGGCTTCTCTATGCCTGCCGTGATGAGGAAGAGGCCACGCTCTTCGTTAGCGACCTCCCTGACGATCAGCTTCTGGAGGGAGATGACCGTGGAGCGCTGGTCCTATAGCGAGAGAGGGGTGAGGAAGAAGGGGAGGGTTGGATAGAGGCGACATGGGAGGAGGATTGGAAAAGAAAAAAAAACAATTGATGACAGTGGGAGGGTTGAGAGGGAAGAAAGGGGGGAGGAGGGAAGACATGAGGAGAGGATGAGAAAGGCAGGAAGAATGGTGGGTTGAAAAGCAGAAGAAAAGGAGGGGTGAGGGAGCAGGAAGATAATTATGGGAGGAAAGGAAAGACAGAAACAAGTGCAGTGAACATAAAGGGACAGACAGAAGGAAGGTCAGTATGAGAGGAAGGTTTATAGAATGAGTGAGGAGGTGGGTGAGAGAATAAAGACAAACTGAGATTCTGATTCAATGTTATCACGTCAGTCAGCCGATTTAAAGAGAACTCTGCATCCTTCAGGCTGCCAACACTGTGCAGCACATGTTAGTACACTAACACCACAAACTGCTTTTTATTTCTGCTTTATCCACTAAAAGTCTAAAGTTGTAACCACATTTTTCCTGCAACCACTTGTTGCTTTAAGAATAGGCTTTTCATGTTTGTCTTCCTAGTGTGACTTCACTGTAAACAACTGGAACAAAATCCAAAGCCCCTGTTCTGAAGTTCAAATTACATCAACTGGGTGTCTTGTAAGAGTGTTTTTCTGGTCAGAAGTGTTTGTTTTTACCTTTACCCAACTGCGGTTCAGTAAGGGAATACTATTTGTGGAAACAGAATAGTTGAATTTGCACTAAAAAAACAGAAGAAAGAGAATGCTCCGTGTCTAGTATAAAGAAGACAGAAATATTACAGAGACCAAGTATTCTTGCATGTAATAGATGAGTGTTGTTAGAATCCATATCTATCCATCAAAATGATGGATTCATCTCTTGCCTAAAATCCACTGTCATTTTAGCTTTACAAGAAAATGTTCTACCAGGTGATGGTGATCTATGACCTTGCTGCTTCTAGCTGCATGCAGTAATCCACAGAACTGAAGACTATTCTCCCCAAAACACAAGCCTGTTCACATCCATTTAGAACCACATGTTATTCCCCTTTTCAGTGTCAACAGCCCCAACTCAAACATGCCAAGCCTTTTTTTCCCCTGATGGATGTGATTATTATGCCACAGGCCTGCCTCTGTTTTCGTTCCCCGTGATGCGAGTGTGTGACTGCGAGAGAGCGTGCCATGCCATCAAACTGTGAGTCCTGTAAACATGGAAAAAACGACTCAAACCTATATGATTTATCACAGCTGGGTTCGAAGCCCAGGGCCAGATCTGCTTTATTAGGTGCAGTGAGTGTGTTAGCTAGAGGCAGGCATTATTGCATTGTTGCACAATGGGAAAGCTAAGCAGGGCAGCTAATGCTAACAGCAACAACAGTGGGAGAGGAAAATATGACAACATCATCTCTGGTAGCGCTTTTAAGATGTTTATTACGGGAGGAAAGGAGAAAGAGAGAGTTAAGAAAGACATATAGAGATGGGGGAAGGGAGAGCGAGTGCTGACAGTGAGAACCTACCAGCATGGCAAACACATATTTCTGGTCTTTTTCTTGGAGGAAGACGAAGACATCTGATAGGAGCAGAGCATGGACGTCTGCAAAACCCCCAGAAGAAAGAGTTGTTTTGATAAGTAGGTAAGGTTCAAATACATGAACATATTTCCACATTTCACACATTTACAAAGAGAAATAGAAGTATGTCAGCCAGTAAAAACAACAATAAACATCTCCTCACCCTTTAGTCTTCCCTGGCTGTTCTTCAGCTGCAGCGCTCCATCGTGGATCAGCCTCCTCCTCAGCAGGTCTTCCCTGGCAAAAATCTGACCGCTCTTCATCATCATGATGGACTTGCTGTCCGTGCGGCTGTGAAATTCCTTCAGACGCCGTCTTTTCTCGTGCTCGTTTACCTTGCTATCAACCGCCGCTATCACCTCCTTCACGAGCCGGACAGCCTCCGTCAGGTCGTCGTAGTCTTCCTCGCTCTCTGCAGTGGACATGTGAGAGGTCAGACGGACAGCAGTGTAGCTCAGGTTTCATTTCACCACTTAGCCTTGTACCAGATTATCAGTGGAATACGATTTTAATCCAGCAAGGGCACACATGCAGGTCCATTATTTTTGGGAAAGTCCATTTGGCAATTTAGCAGCTCCAGACGAATACACTAAAACCTGATGGGGAAAGTGGCACAGCTGAGAAGGTGTTTATGCACAGCGGAAGATGAAGTGACATTTCGGTTCTCATTGTGGCATTTAACTGTGTCTGGATTTCCACTCGCTTGCAGAGAGTGCTGAAAGCTTTCTTATGGTTTTAGTTAATTGAGTTGGGCACACTGATTTCTGTAGTCGGCTACACTTCATCCATTTGCACTGACGTTTTTCTCTTTTATCCCTTGCATTATTCTTGTTCCTGTATAATTTAAAAGAAAAAAGAAAACAAACTACAACTTAATGGAACTGAGATGAAGCTGTGCCAAAACTGCATTTGCACATGTGTGCCTTGCCCACATTCCTCCTTCTCCAGGAAAGGAGGTGAGTCCTTTGTGAACTTCAGCAAGATTATCGCATCTCAAATCATACACCACTTGTCTTTCCTGTCAGTTGAGATCATCTGTATGCAACATCAGCTGCATTGTCTCTCCCAATAGTTTCCGCTCTGTAGGTTAACTAAAATGTACTTCCATTATTCTAAAAACAGCATTCAACATGTCTATGCATGTAGAGTGTAGACGAGCTTAAAGAACGCATGCTGATGATTAGTTGACATTTTTGCACAAAGCTTATCATCACTTGTCAGGTTCTCCACTGACTTTTGCCTTAGACTCACTGAAAGGTAACTGAATAAGGACCCCGCTGGACCTGCAAGTGAGAAGCTGACTGAGAAAATAATACCTTCGAACAATGCGGAAAGCACAGGTCGTCTAAATGTGCTTCCATGAAGGTGGGCGTTTGACCTCTCTGCAGGTGTTTAAAGCGGGCTTTTCCTTCAGCTGTTGCTTTTTTAACAGTATGTCATTTGGCCAGTTATCATCTGTGGTTGTTATATGCTGTTTTTTGTTTTCTGAATTAATTTATGATCTACTGTTTTCTAGTCAGCCAGAGCGGCATCATTCTTCTCATGTAAACCTTCGTAAAAAAGTAAATAAGTAAATTTTTCAAATATGATATATTTAATTTATTTCTTTATATTTTGTGTAACTGAAGTTTATTTCTGAAGCCTCTCTTTTCTCAGACGGTTACACAACTTTGGTTATTCCTGTTCATGCTACTATGTGGCTCATCTGAATATCCACTGTAAACTGCACATATAAAGGCTTTCACTACCTTGGCATTGGCTGAGTCATTGTGGCGTGACTCAGAATGAACTTTTAATTGTTTATTGTTACCTTGTTTGTGTTTATTGTTCTCTGGTTTGGTGTTTGTTTCTCACTGCTATGCTTTTTGCTCTCTACTCTCTTCTCACCCTAACTGGTCAAGGCAGATGGCTGCCCTCCCTGACCCTGGTCCAGCCAGAGGTTTTTCCCCCTGAAAGAGGAGTTTTTTCTTCCCACTGTCACCAAGCGCCACTCAAAGGAAATAATAATACTCTCTATAATGTAATAGTGTACGGTCTCGATGTTGCAATGTGAAGTGCTCTGAGAAGGTTTGTGTTGTGAACTAGCACAATATAAATATTGAGTTACTACAGTGTACACTGTGATACAGCAATGAAACCACAGAATGACCTTCAGGGACTGCCAGGATGACAGTAAAATCACAAGTGGCCTCAAGCTCCGCACACTGAGGGAAAATACACCGCTGATATGTCTCTGATACACATGTTTGCTCTTGAGTTTTGAATGCAATATGTAACATTTTTCGCAAAAGTGGAACATTTTTCTGCTGTGGCTGTTGTACTTCAGTGCTTGTAAGTACCAAAATACTATCTCTAACTGTGAGTGTACTGCGTTATTTCCTCTCAGTATATGTCAGAGTTGGCAGGAGAGACTCTTCCTAAAGCACCTTGGGGATTAAGGCAGAGCTCCCCCATCCCACATAGAACTATAAACAGGCTTTGGGGAAGGATTAGAGAGAATGTACACAGTGGGAGGCCAGCTGACGAGCTGCTTTAAATCAGATATAAATATGGTGTGAAATATTTCAGCTCCTCGAAGTATGCTTGATCTATTATCCCGAAAACATCCATCCAACACATGTCTCATTTTTCTTAAAATATATAAAACCAAGTGTGAGAAATTCTATTTTTCAGGATGTTTCCTAAAACAAGCGCCACAGTGTGGGATGCTTTTCAATATACGACAAGAGCTGAACTCTTACAGGAAAAAAATAGCAATAATGAGGCATTTTTAGATCATTTAGTCTTTCCTCAGGATCAAAATGTTGTGACAAATACTAAAGTAAATAAATATTTTAAAATAAATATGAATCATAGGATAATATGGAAGAGAAAAGTATTATTTAACTCTAGATTTTGAATTTTCTTTCTACAAGTCTGGCGATACTGTTTCACATGAACAATTAACTCCAGCTGAGTTAAGCTTGACAATGCTTCACAGTAAGTTGGCCTTTACACTTCTTATGACTTTTAACATATGGGTCAATGCCGTGAAATTTACACATCTCAACAACTCCTAAAACTTTACTTTCCTAATAAAAAAAAAAGAGAACTGCCTTACTAAAATGTTTAGAAGTAGTTTGGACTGCAAATCAACTTGTTCCTCCAACAATCTATATTCCAGCACCAGTTTCTGTATACTAATGCAGTGATTGGCCTTATTCTGTCCTGTTTCTGACACATGTTTATGGGAAAATCCTTTCAATGCAATTAAGGCACCCCAGGGAAGAAAAAAAATCCAAGAACATAGTGTGATATTTTTCTTTACTGACTTCAAATCTATGACTTTAAATGTGCTCTCTTGCTCTGGGGGGAAATATCGTAATACAGTATACTAGGCATAAACTTTAAGGCTTCTGCACTTAGCCTGCAAATATCAGTGTGTGTTTGTCCAGGACCTTTCTTCTTCCACTTCCTCCAGTGCTAATAGTTATGTATACACAGTAAGAACATGGATGACTAGTGAGAAGAGGCCAACATGAAACTCACCTTTAGTGTGTTGCAGCATTCTCTGAATCAGCACAGGGTACTTTGTTATTCTCTGGGTCACAAGCAGGATGCATTCTGGGATACCAAGCCTCCGCACAATGCTGCTACTCATCTTTTTCTGAAACAATGAACAAGAGGTGCTTCAGTGAAACATGCCCACACAACAGGTAGCGGGGTTTCACATAATCCAGGAAGAAACCTTAAATTCATTTGTTGTAGAACAATGAAGCAGTAATACTGAGATGATCATTGTGATTACGCCCTGGTATTTCTATAGGAATACTAGAAAGTCTCAAGCATAAAGTGGCTTTTTATATCTTTGTCTACTATACACACACCGATTGAAATGAAGCATAGATACAAAAGTACAAAAGCAAAAAGAACACAACAAAAAAAAAAAACAACACAGAACAAGAACAGGCCTTTTGGTTAACACTTGTTGTAGCAAGTACTCTCTACAAGAGAAGACAATATTTGTTTAGAACCCTATTCAACCAAAACAATCATGTTTGGAAAGCTAGACATCCTCTACAATAATTCTGCAAAAAAAAAAAAAAAAAAGCATGAAAACATACTACTCCAGAAAGTATCACTGCTTCTTGGCAGATACTTGATAAATATGTGAGAGAAAAAGGCTCACACTAACTTTGTGAAAGGCTTTGAAGCGTTTGTCTTTGGTCAGGAGGTCCTTATAGAAGTTGACAGCTTCGTTGTGGCGGCTGCAGAATCTTCCATAAACCCTCTTCATACTTTCACCGTTGGATCCTGAGAACTAGAACAAGATTTGACAGATATGAATACACAAAGCAAACACTGGTACAGCAGAGCAAAGGAAGTTAAAAAAAGCTATAATGCTGTATGTGGTCAGGGTCTAATTTCAAAGTTTCAGAAGTTTAACAGTGAATTGAGAGAAATATTTGTGATTTGTAGGCACTACTTGGTGCAATATTTGGCTTGGAATGTGCAACTTTACATACTTTACATATGAGGTCTATGTATGCTGCAAATTAAAAGGTTAGCATTAGCTGAGGATTCAAATTATTGGCTGTATAATACTTACGGACAGCTATCTTTTACAAAAGCCCTGAAACTTGGACAAAATCTAGTTAATGTTTCTTGTGTATGTGATTTTTCAGATGAATGCCCTTTTTACACACATGTTAGATTCATACTAGCTTGGGCAAAAAATCCTGTAAAAAAATACTAAAACAAAATTAGGACCACATTAGCACCTCCCTCTACTGACCTGGCTGAGCAGGATGTCTCCAATCCTGCTGATGATGAATCCTCCCTCAAAGAGTCGCCCCTCCAGCTGGCTCTCCCTCTTCCTCTCCAGGAGGCGCAGGAGGTGCTGCGTATGGAGCTCCAGGAGTTCATCGAGAGCAGGAAACAACTTCTCCACTGTCTGCTGTTCTAGCTGCACCTCCTTCTGCAGGCCTTTGCTGTACACCTCTGACATGATGCGCAACGTCCGGATGTGATGAATCTCTGTCTGCATCAGCTCTGCAGGACATAAAAGAAAGTGACACTTATTCAAAGTAATCACATAAGCAGCAGTTTCTATATCCTTCACACATCTAAGAATCTACACATTCTATGTCAGAGTTCTGCAAAGAGTTTTATAGAATTCATAATATGATTTTGCAGATCAACACACAGCTTATATAAATGAGAAAATGCTTTTCAGAATCATGTCAATAAGATTTGTCACAAGTAGATTCACATCAAAAGCAATAGGGATCTCAAGGACCTTAACAGAAAGCAGGATGTATCTCAATGCATACTTAAATTAAGTACATTAAGTAAAGCCTCAATAGACCATTGAGACTTGGAGATGCAACTGAAACAAACTTGAGACAAAGTCATCAAGGCTGGCTGAGGGAAAGTAGGTCTGCCACTGAATCAAACTCCAACATGCTTGAAAATAGCTATTGCAATCTCAGGTGACATAACAGTGACTTTTTTTTCTTTTATACTGCTGATCTAGGGCTTAAAGGCATTAATTCATGTCTCTAGGTTTATTCTCATGTCTCATATTACCATTAATGGTCTACAATGACAAAACGCTTTCTTTTTAGTTGACATAAAAGGGAAAGGAAACCAACCAGGCCGAAGAGAGATCATCCGCACTTAAAAAGCTTGTGTCTTTCCTAATTTATTAACATCCTAAGAGCAAGTCAAGCACATATAATGTTCAGTCACCCACTCAAAGTCACTGCATTAAGTGTGTAGTAATCAGATGTACCATAGATGACATCTTGTCTCTTCACCAGCTCTTTATCCAGTTGCTGCAGGAACTGCTGCTCCACACCTAAACTCCATGAGTCAGCCTCCATCTCTTTGGCATCTGCCTCAAACTCTCCCATCAGCTGCCCGTCCATCATCTCTGTTCCTAAACCAACAACACAGATTACACTGACAGTATTAGCAAAATATCTTTTTTTTTTTTTAAAGTTGACTTTCTGTCAGTGTGTATTGACCTTCATCAGTGAGCGATTCCATGGATTCCGTAACCTGGTTGGTTCTGTTGAGTGAGTCGGTGGACTGAGAGAGATACCGCAGGCCTTTAATGGGCATCTCATCAAACACCGGGCTGAATGGAGAAATGATCATAATGCAGTGGTCAAATGAATTGTTAAAGCAATCAGAGAAAGCAAATAAAGACTCAACACCAAACAATTAAAAGTGACTTTATACAAAGGTTAGACAGCAACAGAAACATTTTCTGTCATTTAAATGGAAATGTGAATGCCTGAGGCTCCTTGTGCCACTACACACGAACACACAAATACACACAAATACACACACACACACACACAGCTGCTCACCCAGCGATGTTGCTTATTGAGAGGCTCTTTGAGAGGTTGTTTCCATGGAAAGTCATGATGCTGGTGTGTCTCCGTGATGATGGCAATATCAGGGAAGAAGAGTCTTCAGGTGATAAGATGGCCGACCATGGACGTTCCCTCGTCCCACCAGCTGGACCAGAGACAATTTATATTACAGTTTACACGTATACAATCAGAACCTGCAAACCCATTAACAACCACATGGAATCGTCTTTGAGGAATCTTTTTGTGCTACGAATGTTTCTCTGTGTAAGTTCTATCCTACATCTCCATAATAACAACTTTGCGAGAAAAAAACTAACTTTTGTTTAGTTTGCTGATTAAACAGCTCACAATATGGGTTCTTAAAAGCTTTGAGTATAGGCTAGAGGACTTGTTTATTCATTCATATCCTGTGTACTGATGAATTTTCTCGAGAGTAACCCTGTGATAGAAAAAATACTGGATCCAAAAACAGCCCAAGAAGAACCCCTTGTTTTCACAGTGTACATACAGGAAATACTCTTCTCGCTAATTGTGCGGCAAATAAGAAATAAAAAGTAAAAATATATATGCCCTTCTATTAGAGGTTTGACAGTGAATCTACAAATAATTCTCTGACATGATTATTATGAATTATGGATTTTTTTACACCCAGTTAAGTTTGACACTCACATTTGTTCCTCATCGTGACTGTAGGGAAAGAGCTTGAATCTGGCACTGCAAACTGCTGTTTGGGCAACTAAACAGAGAGTAAAAAAAAAATCGATATTAGCTGCAGGACAACAGAATACTACCAAATCAGTGGTGGATTAACAGTGAGGGAAGTTTTACCTTCATCTTCACCTTGGCACAAACAGGCAGGCTGTCCCTGCAGCCCTTGTGGACGGAAGCATTGCAGTCTGGAAAGAAAAGCAGCTGTGAATACTATGAGCCTGGTGAGGGTGGTGGTGGGGCCAGTGAGGGTGTGTGGAAAGGTGGGGGCTAGAATTTCTGACTGGTTTTCATAGCCAGCCAGGAAACTCCACCAGCCCGCTAATGAAAGCCAGACTGGAGCAGAGCATGTGATGCAATCGGAGGGTAATACTGCTCGTGGACGAAGGGGGAAAAAAAACTGATAGACTGTGGAATGACACACACACACACATAACCACTGAATTGCATGGGAAAATTTCAATTATGTAAACATTCCCAAATCACTATTTGGGAACAAAGTCATCATTTGAGACTGCTAAAATAAGATCTACTCTGTAATCTGATCCTGTTCAAAGAAGGTCTCAAATTCTCCTGTTTTTCTGTAGAAGCAGCCATGTAGTGTTCACATTTCATACTGTCAATTGTTTACATACTTGCAGAAAAAAACAAAACAACTGTTGTGGTTAATCAGGAAGTGCTTGACAACAAGAGGAAGAACTGTTTCGGGTTGTGTCAAAATTCAGCCGTGCAACAAAGCTGCACCAAGTTTCCACTAATTTTCACACCAGCAGGCTCCAGTACACAGAAGCATATTTAACAGAAATGTTGCACAAGTGAAACTCACAGATCCACTATCAGATCTTGTCATCCTTGCTAACATGCAGACAACATTTCCGCTCATGGGATTACATCAACAAGACTTGTGCTCTCTGTCAGGGTGAGAAAATAATGCTGTGTAACTCAACAAGTACAGAAAGGCAGCAACACTGTCACAATAAGAGGTTAAAAAGCACCTCTACCTAGCACCCAAAAATAGTCTCCTGTGTTACTGAGAAAAAACACTGTTGGGAAAAAAAGTATGTGCCTGGCAGATCATGTGATATCTAATTATGACCTGCACAGTAAAAACATCCAAAATCCCTGCAGTGATTTCTCCCTTTCTCTCTTCTTTCTTCGTGGTTTTATTGGGTACTCTACTGCTTTATGTGGATGTCCATTTAATTCCAGCTAATCTTAGACAAAGGATCACTGTATTGGTGTGCTGAATGGACACCAGCCAGACATCTGCAAGTACAAACCTCCAGAACACACCCTCACAACTGTCAGTGGCTTTAATGATCTGAACCAGACCGACTGAACACAACAAGAGCTGTTTTCACCAGTCTGGAGTATCTGAGGCAGCTTGTGACCATTGAGACGATCGCTGCGATCCATCGCAATGCTGGTTTCTCCTTTTTAGGCTTTTTCTGGGGTTGTGCCAAAGGCTTGTGCAATAAACTACATCCTCTTTAGGGCTGCTGCTGCTGCTCCAGTGGAAAAAACAATGCAAAAGCTGTTTTGTTGTCTGTACTGAAAGCCTGACTTGGGTGCATTAGAAGTAGCACTTTAGGGAGTTTCACTACTTCACACAAAATCATGAAGCTGGTTCAGACAAGTAGACCCATCCAGCCAGACAGCTAACTGCCAATAAGAAGGATACAGAGTACAGTGACTGGTCTGTTCTGACATGGCAACACCCTGGCTCCACAAAGTTAGAAATACAAAACATTCAGGCGTCCAGGTACTATTAAAAGCTTTGCTTACATCACAGGCACTGGTGGACCTGTAGTTTAAATTGTGATTAAATGCCAAGCAAAGAGTCAATGATATTTCCCTATAAATCTATCTTTTTAAAGACATACGTGCTTATAAGATGTAGAGTGCATGGTCCGGAAATACACACTGAACCTTTACAGTGCATTGACATGACCTGCTGCACAGCTGTGTGACTCATGGCTGATCATGTATGCCCCTCAGGACATTTTACTTTCCACTATGGCATTCTGCTTCTGCTCTCTGTATGTTCACTGTTGTGTGTTTCTGGCAGTGTTCACAGCTGAGTGTGTTTTGATATTAGAAATGACATTATAATAGGATGAATCCTGTTAATAAAGGGTCACAGCACTTAATGGGCTTTAATTTGACTTAAAGCAACAGGAGTCCTGATCACTATCAAACAGCCAAAGAAAAAGACTGGAGCAAAAATCAGTGCAAGAAATGAAATAGAAAAGAACAAACAGAGGTACTTACATGTGCAGTAGAAAACTTCCTTGTTGTTAAAAGCCTTATTGCACTGGGAGCACTGGGCAGCCTGATTTAAGCTGACTGGTGCAAAAAGATGACCGTTCACAGTCTTCTTGTCTTTCTCCTTGCCCTCCTTGTCTTTCTCCTTTTTATCTCGGTCCTTTTCCTGCACGAGTGGAAGTACAACAGTCAAGAACATAACCAAAGCATGAACTTTGCTTCAATAATTACTTGAACTTTTTACAATCCAATTAGAGGTTTAGAAAAGAATCAGACTCCCAGTGAATCAAGGTTACATGTGGAGCAGACTAACATACCAGACACTGACAAAATGTTTCACCATTTGGCCAGTTGCTAACGTTAAATTCCAATCTAAACCCTGCAGAGCAGCATTATTACTCGGATGTACTACACAGCAGGGGGTTTTGCATATTAAGTGATGCATTATTTATGCTGACAACAAACTGTCTCATTAAGGGACTCTTTTAAATGAAAAGTGTTTTTGTTTTAGACAGTTGTTTCTGGTTTGTCTCATTTAAAGACAGTGGGACTTTTCAGCCAAGACTCTGATAATTTAGCTTTTTTAAACGTTTGTAATGCTTCAGATGTCTGTAAGTAGTACAAACAGTAACTGTTTCTACTGCAGGATGGCACTTTCCATACTACACATTGTGTTGTTTTCCCAGTTACCGTAAAGCTCCTATTCAGACCCTCTTATGATGAGACTCTTCTGCAGAATGCACGACTGCTGACGGAGACACACTGTCTGGGAATCAAATCTTTGACCTTTCCATAACAGGGCTGTCTTTCTGATGCCTTGGCATTAATAGACGAGGTCATCCTTAGATGTTGGTCATCTCTGTACACTGAGCTGAATCACAATCCCATAAAGTGATGCAGAGAAGAACAGAGCTCTTATTCTCTTGGATTTACATCACAGAGCCTCCACCCAAACCCAGAGGAAATGGGAAAATGGAGTTTTCCAGTTCGTTTTAATGGCCAGCCCTGGGCCTCTTGGTTTGAGGGGACCACAAAGCTCTGACACACTAGAGCACATTTTGTTCAGCCGTTTCAAGATACCGAAACGCTGACTGGACCACAGCATGTTTTATAGCCATTACAACACACAGGCATTACAACACACAGCGTTCGTTCTCGACAGCAACTGTCTTACCAATGATGAAACTAATTACCAAACGTCTATGAATTAAATGGCTAATAAAGTATCCTTCCCAGCAGCAACAATCGTTATTTGATATTTTGTAAGTTTATATTAAACACAAAATACAAAAACACTTCAACTTATTAGAAAAAGGATGATTCTCAGAACGCTTTTCATTTGGCTACAAGCAAACACAACAGGAGAAGCAATCACTTGTGACATCTAAACCATAGATTTGAACAAAAAGACATTCTAGTGAAACATATTCAAGCAGGCAATGACTTCACTGGAAAAAGCCATCAGCCCAGAAGGGAACACGAATCACTTTTAACATGATACTGTGACAGTTTCTTTTAGTACAATTTGACTGGGAAACCAGAGCACTGTGTTAGCCTACCTCTAGCCAGCTTTTCCATCTCAGTGAGAAGCAATGGCTCCCTGTGAATCTCCTGTATAACATCCCTGACTGTGGCTGAGCGGCTGCAGCTACTACCAGCACCGAGGCGCCATTAGGAAAGCTGCAATGAGGAAGTGACTGCCTCGCTACAGGAGGTGCTATTTCTGCAATGACCCTTTAGTCTAGTACGGACGATGTCACAAAACTGCACAAAGTAGATCCGCTTGTTGAACATCTAGACTTTCGATATTGTGCCAAAGCTGCATCTGAGCAGTATGTGCAAAACAACGGAGGAGTCAAAGAATAACTTCAGACAGTCAGAAGAGCATGGTTCCCTTCCTAACAAGTCCTATTCTTGTTAGTTTTAATGTGGTATGTAGCTGTTTGCGGACGCTAACTGTAACCCTGACAAGGCCTAACAAAATTGAAAATGAGTCCATTTTTAAACATCAAAGTTTTATTGACAGCCAATAATTTTGACCTTTGACAGAAACGAGCAGCTGCCAGCAGTACCGAGCTTTCAGAATCCTGTCACTTTAAAAGCAAGGCGATGGTTGAGGTTACAGAAGAGATTCTAAAACCACAGTCAACTCCATCTTCCTGTTTTACTTCCTGTTCACCCCTCAGTGTCTCTTTGCAGGAGCTGCATGTTTACAGAAAGCAGACATCTTGGTAACTATATATGTCTACTTTATTTCTCAATCCGGAATATTTACCCAAGGTTTTTACAAGGTTCACTACACTAACTTCAGGAATTTCCAAACCCTTTCAATACCAGAGAGAGTGTATTTTACTGCTTGTTTCATAATCATTCCAATTATGGATGACGGAGGAGCAACAGAAAAGATACGGACAAGAATTTTTTATTATTATATCATATTTTTTTCAGTACTTCCGAGCAGTATGTAACACGAGTTCCTTATGATGAAATTAAGTGCGTTAATGAGATCTCACGTAAGCAGCATTGCATGAGTAGATGATTAACTATGAAAATGATGAATTCATTCCTCATTTTTCTAAAGTCGGTTTTTGCGTACTACGAGCAGATGAGCTTCCAAGTAACTCGTCAGAGTGTCTGTGTTCACTTTAGGTCTGACTCAGAGTCTGTGGCACAATCTACTGTCGCAGCCACCACGCAGAGTTTATAGCTGTGTAATGTCTCCTGACAGCCTACAATTGGATATAAAAACACCATTTAACAAAAATTACTGTCTATAATGTCTGTAAATTAACTGTAAGACTTTTTAATACTTTCTATGGCCATTTTTGAGGAAATCCAATTAGGTGCTTTTTACTCTTAAGGACCTATTATGAGTACAGTTTAAAAGTCCAGATTTTCACAACTGTATTCCCTCATCACATTAATGGTGATGACAATAGAGTATGTCAGTGACAATTTTGAGAGAGCAATACTGATCAAGGTGTTCCCATTAAGATTTTGATGGTATTGATGTGAGTTTTTCTTTCACTAAAATAATTTTATCTAATAAATATTTCATCTAACAGATAATGGAGGATGATCGTCCCTCTACATGTATGTATGTAGGGAATGTTCTACGTTCTCACAGGAAACAAGACATTTTAGGTCAATCATCTAACATGCCCTTGTCATGTATGACAAAGAAAGATCATTTGGACCACATCTTACAAACAAAATTCAGATTCCGATCTGTGACCACAAAGTGTTGTGCGCTCAAAACCAGTCCTACTGGGGAAATGTGAATGAGGGAAGTTACAAGGAACACTGACTTGCCCTTAAGCAAGACAAGTAACCCCCAGCTGTTCAACTGGGGCTGCTCAGAGGCCAACAGAAGAAGATGCGCAGGGCAGATCCCAGTGTGAATGTGTTCAAACATACAAATGTGGAGCAGTGTGAAGCTGAAAAACAGTCTGGTGTTCACTCATCCTCAGTTAAAGGGATAAATGTTTAAGGAGGAGGCTGAAATTTGACTAAGCATACTGCTGAAACTGGATAATAACTAACATATAGAAAAGTACAAAAATGTTCATTTAAAGTCTTGTAACAACTTTATTAAGAAGAATTAAAATCTCCATGTTCACCCACCCTGGTCTTTTTGTACATCTTGTTCTTGAGGTAGCTGAAGGTCCGGCTGACTTTTGTCACGCTTTTGCCCTCAGTGTCGCTCCGCAGAGGCCCAGGCTCCTCCTCTGAAATACTGGAACACACACATGTGCACACACACACACATTTAATTTTAGTCTCCAACAGCTGCATTCACAGAGCATACCTGTTCACACATTTGGAAATGGTTCTTTACAGCACTGTAATAGTTCCATGGTCCCATGGAATCATTTGACTGCTTCTCCACACTGTTCTTTATAGGACTATAAAGGTCCCAGAAGCAGTAAAAGTCTAAAGAACAGTTTTCTGGTTATGTGTATGCTCAGAATTGGACTGACCTGTATGCTAGTGACCCAGAGGTGCTAGAAAACGACCTCATACCTGGAAAGAAACAAGAGAGGAAGTGAGCAGGAGGGCAAAGATTCAGGAGCAGGTAAAAACAGGACAGGAGTTTTTTTGGTTTTTTTTTTTTCATTTTTTAATTCACTTCATCCTCTCAGGTGGAAGGTTTTCTTGTGCCCTATATTTAAGGTGGTGGAAATCTCTGTGTAGGGGCTGACCACACAAGGCACCATGTCCTTGAATATACAGTCAGTGAATGACCTCACTAACCTAATGGTTAGGAAAACATTTTTGACCAGGAGGCTGTCAGTTCATGTCCTAGCTGCAAAGATTTGGCTGAGACTAGACTGAGCGACTTTTAATGCCCTTGGGCAAGGTTTTTAGCCTTTAGATACCATTGTAGAGCTCTGTGGAGGCTGACAACCAAATGACTCTGGCACAGAGAAGAGAGCAGCAACAAGGCCAAAAGCTAGAGCCAGTATTGCCTTCCTATCCAGTGCCATTAATGTCTGCTGGATGGATACTGACTCCAAAAAATCTCTGGTTGTATAGAGGTACAGCACCACAAACTCTTCAAATTAAGTCCATGCAATACACACACACACACACACACACACACAAATATATGTTTGTTTGTTTTGACATGCAAAACATTATGATCTCATTACCAAATATATTTCATATATTCTGTGTCTATTCAGCTTATCACAACACAAAAGCCATGATGGTTTCAGCTAGCTTGTTCTATTCAGATATTACATTATTCAAACTGTGATTTTCTGGCTTCAGTGATGTTGCTGTTTTTAATTCATCTCTGACCTTGTTGTATTTTTTCAACCGATAAAACATGATACATATTCAAAAAAAATGAATACTTAAAGCACACACTGTGGTTTCTTGTCAAATAGCAGCCATAGTGAAATATAACTCATGGATCTTTTCTAGAGAGAAATCTGCTTTATCCTGAGCAAACATTTCCACCCTGTGTTTAGACGCCCAGGAAAATATCCAAAGCATTGTTTGCCTGCTCTGCATCACAAAGTCAAACCCAAAACAAGATAATGAGGGCAAAGTTTTGGCCTCCCCATGTTGCTAGCAACAGAGTCAAGGAGACAAAACACTAATGGAAATATCTCACAGATAAAAAAAGGAAGGAATGCCTCAGTGTTTTTGAGTAAAGGTGACAGGCTCATATTAGTCCTGCGGGAAGAAAAGGCTCCCTAAGTTCACCTGCAGTGTTTATGATGATTCTTTTCCTTGTTCTCTAGTGACTGTGTTTCATTTTTTCCACAGAGACTAAAGAAAGGCAAATTTTCTGTAAAGGTCAGTTAAATGCTGGGCTGTGTAGGGGACAGGAGAAGCCAGGGTCTTATTTAGTCTGAGCAACAGGAATTATTACCCCAGCGCCTGCTGCTGAGGTGAAACATGGTTTTCTACACCAATGAGTACACTACAAGCGTATACTAATTGCACATTCACACTGTAAGTAGCTTAATATTAACAGCAATTAATGATTTCCTGAGACAAGTTTGTTGTATTTGAACATTCAGGCTTCCTTGGCTTTCAGCATTTAGTTATATTCAGGCTTAAATTAATTTCTTTCTGTCCCTGCAAAGACATCAGTTCTATAGAGAGCACTCTGTGCAGAACTGTAAAAGCCAAGGGGAAGTTTAGATACAAACAACTGAATCTTTCTTTTAGGACACATTGGTTCTTCTATTTGAGTGATTTCAGAACGATTTCTGACCCGTCTGGAGAGGGGGCACAAACACCTTTCATCCAGTCACAGGTGGGCACTTCAATCTGGGTACTTGGCTGACTACCTCATTATATTTGGGTGTGTCTGTGAGTTTAATGTCTTCCCCTTAATAAAACACAAGTTTTGTTTGGCTGCACTGCTTGTGACCCTTCTTAGCAGGATAAGCCATCATTATTTTTACATTCACATCGTGAATGGGTGACAGTCACTTCTAGATCCAGGGCTCTAACGGGAACAGCTACTGTTCTGATACTGACATCACATCTATTTTCTACTGCAGCTATGTTTACAGTTCAGTACTTACTCAAGTTATCCTCATCATCACTAGATGAGGAGTCCCCATAAATGAACTGAGACTTAGATTTAGTGAGAATGGGGGAAAGGTTGAAGGAGAAGGAAATTCGCCTCTTACGTCTCAGGCGTCCTATTGCTGGTGGGCAGGGAGGAAAGAACCAAAACATGCACTGATCATTTGTTAAAATTAAGTAACTACAATGAACTATTGTGACTGCGGATGGCAAATGGTGATGTCATGACAGCACCTGATAAATAATAACTGATAAAGATCAAGAAATCTGGCAAATTAACAATTCTGCTGCAGTACCTGCATATTTAACTGCCCTTTTACTCTTTTTATGTGGCATTTTATACTTTATCTTGTAGTTATTTCTCCATCATTGCTCTGACTGACACTAGGAAAAAATACACATCTGGCCCCTAAAATGATTGTGTCATTCTGTGTACCGGCCCTTTTACAAATAGGCGCATACAAAGTAAACTTAAAGGTAAATTCAAAATTGACACTTTGAATGCTCTAGTTATAATCAAATAAGGATTTAAAGCAAGAAAACAGAAAAGAAACTGACTGACATAAAGTTCAGAGGGGCTGAATGGCACAAGTCATGACTTGAAAGAACTGGTAAATTTCATGTGGTACTGATGTTAAAATAGCAAAGCAGCCTCCTAGCTTGTCACTTACCATCTATGTCTCTCTGGCTGATAGCAAGCATGGATACAGACTTGGTAAGGGGCAGGCTCATGGGAGGACAGCTGTTTCGCAGAGGCCGATACCGCCTTGATTTCTGCAGAGCAAGAAGACACAAGGTTGAATCGAACCTAATGCGTGACGATGTGAAAAAGCCAGGCAGACATAATGTGGAACCAAACATCATCAGCTGCTTAACTGGAAACAGGAACCGCAAACTAAAAAGGGAAACTACACATTTGATTAGTGAGGTTATGTTCACAATTTGTTTTAAATTCAATGAGAACAGAGTAAGGTCGCCTGAGGAAAGTGATGTTTATTAATTCTCACTAATCCCCACACTGACAAATCTCAAATTTCCCCTGACTGTTTATACTGTAAGTCTTGTTTATGTACAAGCTTTACAAATCCTTTCCTCCTCTCATGAATTAGGCTGAAAATGTTTTTGAGGATTCCTCTGGGCTAACTGTGTGATACTATGAAGATCTGACATCTAGAGGACAAACTTGATGTGCATGTGTTTGCGTGTGTGTGTGTGTGTGTGTGTGTGTGTGTATCAGCTGACCGGGTCATACAGTCTGCCCTGCTCCCCTCTTTCCTCCTGTTCCTCTGTCAGAGAAACCAGGGAGCCTCTGTCATCACTGTCATGCCTGGGCATCCTTGAAGGCTCCAGGATACGGGGCCCCTGGGCTGTGGGGCCCCTCAGCTCTTCTTGGACCCCACTGAGCCCCTCCAGGCTGTAACTGTGTGGACAAAACAGAAGGCAAAGGTGACCTCAATGAAGGAGAAATGACGGTACTACAAACACACACACACACACACACACACACTTCACTAGCCTCTCTGGACTATTAATCACAGCTTTCTGGATACACACATGTACTACTGCAACAAACACAAGCAGACACAAACATGCACACATGCACCTGTTGACAGACATACACACACAGCTGGTCCTGCACACTGTTTAGTCAGCTGAGTTATCACTGGGCTCTGGTGCAGATTTACAGCTGAAGCAGCTGCAAATGACTTCCAACATCAGCATCAGCATAGCAAGCTGTGCAGCTGTGATTTACAAACCCAATTACATCGATCTATGACTGGAAATAAGAGGCCTTGAAAAATCCTATACAATGATTATGGAGAGGAAAACTACAGCTACATTTCAGGATGAGCTATGCTACGAGGCTGCAGCTCTATCCGCTTCAGGACCGACTCCGTGATAGTTAAAGCTCCAGCAGTAAATCTCTCTTATCTCCAGCCCTTGGCTTTGTATGGTACTCCATTATCCAGCAAATCATCAGTCCAACATATTCAAGCATCACTAACTAAAACTGGACTAAAAGAATCATGAGTTGGTGATTATCAGTGACCAGTGTGAAGCTGCACTCACCTATCCTCGGGGCTGTAAATGTAGATGACTATATCTGTCATATTAAGGTGTCCTTCTTGGCAGTATTATTATATACTATCCTACAGAGCCAGAAGGTCTTCCATACTGAAACATGAATAACACCAGCAGCTACTGCAACTCTCTGCTGTAGGAAGCTACTGACTGGTTGGGCAGGGCATTCACACACACAAACGCAGGCATATACAGCCAGAACAACGACATATGCAAATCAAGCAGCATGTAAATACGCCCTATTCAAAGAAGGTCATGTGCTCTTAGCAAAAAAGGAAATATCTGACACACACGAGCACACTGTACCTGAGGGATCTAACTACCTCCACACCGTGGCTGTGGGGAGCAGCAGGAGGGCACCAGCTGATGCTAACAGAGAGTGAGGGGGAGCGGTCAGGAGATTATGAGATAAAGAGGAGCAATGGGAAGATGGACAAGCGAGTATGGCAGAGTGACAGTAAAGCAGGCAGAGGCGGATGTGGAAAGGACAGAGGCACAGGGTTGTCTGAGGACATTCACACTGTTCTGGAATTAGTGGACAGAGTACGTACTGTACAATCACACTTTCACATTGTGAAACATAAACATGGTAAATGGGTTCAAGTTTTTTCCTGCTGCAGTGTTGTGTTTAAAATCAGCAGCACATAGGAGATCAACCTCAACCCAAGCTGCTTCCCTGACATGCAATAATGGCACAATAGCCTGGGCACTATTAGCACTGCTGGAACCACTGCTGTGGTAGCCACTGCTTTCTTGAATGTGACAGATGTGGCCAGATGGTTACAGCAGTGGCCTATGACAATGAGAGACACGTCTTAATTAGAGCCTGACAGATATGGAGGAGCCCTGTTATTATCGGCCATTATTAACTAGTCACAGATGCAGTGACAAGAATTTAGAGCACAAATGTTAAAGATGTATGTTTCAGGTCATATTTAAAAAAAAAACAGTCTGGCTGCAGTTGTAACTCTGTGAAGCTCTAATTTCAGCTGACTTTAGATCATTACTGGCACCAAAACATTCTGTTGATGAAAGATCAAAATCTTACTGAAGAAACAGGTATAAGCTTGAATAGCCCTTCACAATCTTGAACACCATCAAATGAGCCACTCCTTTAATCTGTTTTGTACAGAGCCAAAAAAGGTTACTGGCATAAATTTCAGTGAGAAAATCACTCTGTCTTAATGATTTTGCATGCCTCTTATGTCTACACCATTGCCTGGCCAAGTATCTCATTCTGGCCTCCATCTAGAATCTGTGAGGCTTGAAAGCTGTTGTATGCGTGCACAGAGACAGTCATGATCACGTGTGTGCAACATGCATGAGCAGCACTCTGCCATAAACAGTGGAACCTGTGTTTTACATGTTTTCGTGACAACTGGTAGGTGTACATTTGCAAGCACAAAGGACAACATCCCCTTCTGGGTCAGGCATCACAAAGATCATTACTGGTGACCAGAAGTGGGTCTGCAGCTACCAACAACAAAACAAACAGCAGTTTTCACAGTGTAAAAGCCCGCAGTTTCCTAAACCAGACAAGGCATGTCAGTTCAGAAGCACAGCAGGAGCATGCTTGTTTTTTTCTTTAATATTTACATGGCTGTTCACCGGGAATTAGTCCCACACAGTTGGACAATCAAGGTGGAGTTCTACTGTCACCTCCTGAGGTGTCAGGAGAAAATTCTGCAGTCTGAACTGAGGTGCAATGGCATGTGGGTGGTCCAATGCATTTTGCATAAAGTTACAGCATGGTGATTACATATCGCTTCTTTTGGCCACAACAACGCAATCATTGCTCCCTGTGTTGTTGCAGGAGCACTGGGAGCACTGTATCACTGCAAAAGGGGGCGACTTCTACAGGGATGGTGGCGAAATTTATTCCGGGTACAGTTTTTTGATTTTTATAGGTACAGTCTCTGAGCTTTTTGATCAACCCTCATACTATAAGCTGTACTTAATGCCAGAAGGCTGAAACCTAAAAGTGATGTGTGGCTTGGATCCAAACCCAAAGGACTACTCTACTCTACCCTTGGACAAATTTGTGACTGCAATCATCAGCCCTAACTAGAGAGGCCTTTCATGGATATGGGCATACTGCTTGAGTACAAATTCAAGGCTATTTCAAATTCAACAACCCTCATGTGCTCAGGGTGAGAATTTTGGATCAGCCTATAGAACTGAAACAGCTTTTCTGTGGGTCATACTAACAAGATTACTTAATGGTGGAAGCTGGCTGGCTCCTTCTTCGGTGCTTCCTCCTCGTTACTTCTGGGTCAAAGAGCACCAATTCACACAGTCAACAAAGTCATTCTACAGCTAAAACAACTTCCAGTCTGTTTTCACTGCTATGGCACGCTGTCTTCTCCAAGATTGAATTTAAAACTTCTCTGATGGTGTTACAGTCTTGAAAAATTCTCTACAGGAAGTTATTACATCAAAAAAAAAAAAAAAAAATCTTGGTGCATTTCTACCTCAATGCAGCTGAGTGTCCACAGCTTTCTCTTTCTGTGGCTCTGGCTGCTTGTTATTACCACTGCAATACAAAACACCAATGCCTCAACCATCTATTTGCCACTGTATTTTGTGCACATTTCCACAGGGGTGAAAAGAGAGCAACATTTTTCAGCGCAGTAGCCTGCAGGGATGGAGCAGAATGCAGCAGCAGTTCAGCAAGCATACATTAAAAAGTGAGGGATCCACAAAGGCCACAGCTACATAAATTTGCCAATGCATGTCACCAGGAAACAAGTGAATGTCAGCAATAGATGAACTGGTGGAATGTGATGTATTAGTACCTTCTCCTGTGAAAGGCCGGCTTCCCCTCACCAGGGCTACGAATGGAACTGGAGGTGATGGAAACAGAGACAGCAAGTGGTGGATGATGGGTGAGATGAGTTGGGATTTGAAAGGATGGAGCATCAGCAAGAACACATGCGACGTATGAATGAATTAATTATTCTAATTGAGGATAACTCCCTAATCCTTTTTGCATGACAGATTTTTATGGGCACTATTGTGTGCGTTGGGCACATGCTACCATTATGAAGTGATAAAACTAGCGTTTGTTCAGAATAATAATTTGACAGGAAAAGATATTTGCTTTCCTGCAAAGAGTTTCAATTAAAGGACTGACACTCTTCTAATATCTGTCCATTAAAACTGAAGCAGGAGTAAGGAGACAGCTAACTAAGTTTAGCATAAAGACTGAAAACAAGGTAGCCTGGCTCTAATCAAAGCACAATTTCTAAACAAGGAGCAGTGATTTCCTGGAGTCTCTGCTGGTTGCCAGACAACTTCTGATGTTAATATTCAAGGACGTTGCTGTACCCAACAGAGAAATAGCAGTGTGCATAACCCCCTGTAATGCCACAGATAGCTATTTTTACACTGTTTGTATGGGTTAAACTAAAAAAAATTGATAAAGGACATGTTTACAATTTTCAGCATTCCTGTCAAGTTCAGTGTATTGTATTGTATTGTATTGTAGTGCATATACTTTTTAATTAGTGAGCCTTCAAAGAGAACCCTTGAACATAACCAGTTCAGGTGTTTATCTATGCTAAGGTAACACCCTGCCGCTGAGAGCACCATGTTTACTGTACAGATACCATCCTTTCATCTAAAGGCCAGTTAAAAAGAAACAAGTTTTTAGAGGTGTTTTGATCTTTGTTACTTGTCCATCTTACAGGCAGACTTCTATTCTTCAAATGCATCAATCCATGTCAACTCAGAGAAATCCACCTGAGAGCCTCACAATTTTGCTTTTTTTTTTCTCCTTTCTGATATGCTTTGTGGCCTGTAATCGCTACGGAAAGTTGTTTAAATCAATCAATCAATCAATCTTTATTTATAAAGCGCTTTTCATACTAAATATAATTCAAAGTGCTTTACAGATTAAAATCACCTTAAAATCATTCCCACCCTTCCCTCACGCACAAACAAACAATATCACACTCATACTCAACACACACACACACGCATACACACCAGCACCAACAATATGGACATGGGGCTGAGTACGGATGAACCAGGTAAGTAAACACCACCAACAGGAGCCGTCTGTATCGAGGTATAAATGGTACAAGTATAGTCAATTCAATATACTCAATAAATATAATCATATATAGTGTATAACATAACAATGACACATACATTGCTGATTCTGTAATGCGGAGACCACATGAAGAACTACTTTTATCCAGCAAACTTCTGTCACTCTGTCATTTTGCCTGGCAAAGACAGTTTGAGCAGCTGCTCTCCTTTGCCTTCGTCTGTGCTGACAGACAGACAGACAGCTGGTTCTGAGGGCAGAGATGCTGAACAGAGAACAGTCATTGTGGACTGAATGAATCAAATGCTTCGGTAGCATTTATGCGTTGCTCACTGTTAATATCAATTTCCAGTAACTCCTGGCAACTCCTGGTTGCTTTTAAATGTTCCCTGGATTGTAACAGATTTTGGTAAAACAGCATTCTCCTATCATGCACCATGGTCGTGGAATAACCTTCAAAAAACTCTCAAACTAGAAACATTCACATCCATTAATGAGTTTAAGAGCATCATAAAGAATACAGTAAAAGAGGAATGTCACAGTTTTTCATGAGAGCCCACTGTCCTTGAATAGCTGTCGATCTGTTTTATTGTTGTACTCTTCATTATTCATTTGTGTATCATGTATCTGTTTTATATTAGTTTTTTTGACTTTGTATGGCTGCTACCTTGGCAAGGTCTCCCTTGTAAAAGAGATTTCTAATCTCAGTGGGACTTCCTGGTTAAAGAAAAGTAAATAAATAAATAAAAAGCAAATAAGCACAACTTCCGAATGTTAAACTTCTGATTAAAAATGGGACTAAACCATAGACAACTCAAGACAAATCCGACATAACACACTGATTAAATGTTTTTCTCACCAATTAGCTCTTATTACATTCATTTTGCTATTTCTGTAAAGAGCTCAAGGTTCTCTAAATGTGTGTCTTATTTACAAATCTTTAAGTGACTCATGTTTGTCTATGAAGTGCACCTGCGGTCAAAAACTAATTCTCTTTTCTGCCATTAGTTACACTATAAAGCAAGCTTGGTGGCCTGTTTTTGGCCCAACTAGATATCATAAAAATAGTCGCTGATAAATGCCTGCAGTAGCCGCTATTTATTTTGTTTGGTTTGTTGTTCGTTTTTAGTCCTTCTCTGTGGCACAGACTTTAGGAATATAGATTATATATCACAATGCACAATATTTTTACATAACTCAGAACAGAATATATTATTGTGACCCTGTTACACAGAGCACACACTATTCCTAAGTAATAAAATGCAATGATCGCTGGTCATAGCATAGTAGAAGAAATTTAAAAACTGCCTCTGCAGATAGTCTGTAAGAGGCTGCTGTTTAGTCAGTGATGGAAAGTTTGTTGTCAAGGTCTTGTTCCTAATATGTGCTGCTGGAGAGCCACTGAGAATGAAGTAATAGTAACTCTTGACGACCGTATGTGCTCCGGTGAGTGCGGTTGGGTGTGTGGTTTTAAATGTAGAAGCGTGAGAACATGTGCATGAAGTGGATGTGTGTATCTGTGCTGTTGTGTGCATTTGTGTGTACAATTTTGGTAGCTCCCCACCAAAGCCAGACAAATGGCAACACAGCTGCTCACAGCAGGAGGAGGAAACACACAAAATAGCACAGAGAGAGTGACATCAACAAGCCCTAATAATGCTGACATCTGCACACATCAGGTCTACTGACATCTACTAACACCAGATTAACCCCAAGACTCAGCGTCTGGGACAAAAGAGCAACATTCCTATCTCACACTCTATTCAGTTCCATCCACAATGTAATTAGAAAGTCTTCATCTACCAGCCAATCCAACATAATCCAGTCCCCTTCCCACTCTCACCTCCTCTGGTTCATCTCTGCGTCTCCTCCGTTGTTCTTTCCAGGACCCCAGCTGTGGCGGCGAAGAGGCGACAGGGAGCGGATGCTGTTTCGGAAGAGAGAGGAGCGCCGAGGCACTTCTGTCACCCTGTCCTTGGCCTCTTCTTCAGCTTCTCCAGCTCCTCCTCCTCCTCCTCCACCACCACCACCACCACCGTCCAGTCCTGCAGTGACAGCAGCCCCAGTCTGGATGCCCTCCTCTGGGCTCCAGCTGCAGCCGAGGCCCTGACTTCCCTCCGGACTGGAACTGGACGGGCAGACACTGGCAGTGTCGTCTGTGGAAGAGCAGGAGACGGAAACCTCGCTGGCACTGTCGCCTCCTGTCAGTGGTTCATCATTCTGCAGACATCAGAAAAAGTAATATATTAGTTTTATTAAACAACATCACTGTCCAGCATCATGCCTCCACAGGGAACTGTAAAAGTAAAAGAGGCAGTGATAGTTTATTATGAGCCACATGAGCAGCTTCGTCAATTCAGAACAGAGTAAATTCAACGCCAAACTCTAATGGAATGTTGATTTATCATTTCAAGGAGCTTATATGTGTTAAAGTAACTGCTTTCTCTTGAAATCATTCACTACTATCCCAGATTTAATCAAGTAGCGCTCTAGTGGAGAGTAAACTATATCTGGCAGAGCTAGGAGTCTTGCTCTGCTCACAAAGGAACACAGGAAGCAGAGCCTTTAACCCTAAAACACGGGAAAATAACTTGTTGGTCGTCCAGCTAAAATAACAACGGAATCTTGAAATCTAGAACCCAATTTCAGTATTTTATCATGCCCATGACTGCAACACAGAGCAGAACATAACAGAACGCTATACAACACAATTAAAATACATATAACACAACAGAACAGATGTCCTTCAAATCATTGTTAATTACCGAGGCTATCACATTGTGTATCCATCAGCATTTCTTCACCCAAGCATGAGATGAATTAAGAGCAGACTGGAAGAGCTTTTTAACCCACAGGAATGGAATATAATGAGGACCAAATGGCAGGGCTTAAGGATAATGAGCCAGAGCCACTTTATAGCAACACTGACATTATAACAAACACCAATAAATGATAACAACCTTGTTAAAACAAACCTTTCCCAGGAAAATGTTTCTAAGTGATACACAGTCTTTTCAAAGTCTATTTGTCATTGTCGCAGGATGGTATCATTGACCCAAAGCCTCGTATAGTTGTCATTTAGCAGCTGGCAAATATGCAGTGTGTAAATGGAGTATGTTGTGTATTTGTAAACTCATATTGGCAAATTAATCAGCAAAATGCTAAATTTATGGTGGAGAAGGAAAATATTTCCAAATTTCCTGGGATTCCTTGACGAGTCTCGCTTATCTGACAGCTCTGTAATATAAGAAATGAATAACGGCATGAAAACAAATTAGTACTAGTAAAACTACTCTTTGGCCTGGGACTGGTGGGAATGAGCTCTGGCAGGCACACACACACACACACATACAAACACACACAAACACACACAGGTTTGGGATAGTCCTTTTAGAGCTAATTTGTAGGTGTGAGCTTTAACTGGGCCTATTGTGCTGCCAGCTGCAGTGTGAGCGCCAAGCATAGAGCTGCTTCTGTTGGAGAGCTGGGAATGAAAGATCTGCTTTATGCTGTGGACACAACTTCCTCTGGGAGTGAGAGAATACATGAGTTTGTGTGTGTGTGTGTGTGTGTGTGTGTGTGTGTGTGTATGTTGAGGGCAGAGAGTGCATGTGACTGTCGTGAATGTTACTGAGTCACATGACCTTAGTTTTAGAGTTAGGGGAAGGTTACAGCTGAGTTTTTAACTTTCTTTTAGATGTTTGGCCTTAATATCTTCATTTCTTTATACACAACCTTTAGTGAGCAGTCAAAGTTGCGCTGTCTTGCTCAAGGGCACATGAGGGATGTTCCACCCACATTTTACTGAGATCAAACCAATGACCTTCCTTAGCATTATGAAACTGTTTCTCTGCCCATTATTCTACATTTACAGTATTGTGTCTTGCAAAAGAAAGACACTTTCTCTTCAGAGAGCAGCAAAGACGCTAATCCTCTTTTTCAGAATTTAGCTCCTGTGGTCTTTGCTCAGAATCAAAGCCTGTGGACTTCATGGCACATTGTACCCATCACTGTCTATCTACAGTGTCCTCAGCATCCTCTGGTATACTCCCAGGCAGCTGATATTCTCTCCTCTGACTTTGTCTATTGTTGTTTACAACAAACAGGACACATGGTTCACATTTCCATGAACATGTTTTAAGAGCTCAACACAGCATAAACTAAGAGATACAAGTATTTCAGCTTCAACCAAATGGTATCTGGCTTCAAACTGAATTTCAGCAGCAGCAGAGTGACAGCAGGGACCGTGGCTTGCACTTCCCCAACAGCAAAGCAGCGCTACTGGCCTAAAAAGATTCTGCGTAGATGCTTGGCATCTCAACCTCAGGGTGCTGATAAATAAAAAACGAGCAAAGACTGAGAAACTATCTCCTTCATAGATACTGCATAATCCCTATAGGAGTAGTTGCAGAGGCAAACACAAAATATATTCTCGCTGTTCAACATGAGTGAGCCGGATGTTTGGACCGCAGCCAGCAAAGGCTTTGGTCGACATTGAATTTGCTGGTAAATCAAAGTGAACGCTGCACATTTTCCTCTTTTTTAAATGTATTTATTGATGTTTCTGCAGCTTGGTTCTCTAACAAGTTGGCTCACACTTATACAGCAACACGTATAGTCACAAATGGGAGCTAAGTCTTTGTTTAAGTTATATTGACATATTGAAGACATATTTTGTTAATTTTTCTAGTTTATTTCTGTCTCGGTTATTCTTGATTTTCCTACTTGATATAGAGTTTTGAACCAGTAACCAGCAGATATTGTGAAAACACAAATGCATTATTAAAGAGGCCCTCTGCATTGATGTGATTTTAGGGAGGTGGAGGTCAGACCTTTCTGAAGATGCTGTCATAGCCCGGCTCTGCATTCAGGAAGCTTTCTATGTCACTGCCAGAGTCTCTGTGAGCTGAGGAGGGACAGCTGCTGGTTCTACTGGGCAAACTGGGAGACGGTGAAGACTGTGGAGACCCTGAAAGACAAAACAATAAAGTGTCAACACCTAAATACAGCAGGTTGAAAACAAAGAGATGGAGAAAACAATGCTAAATGGCAAGCAGTGTATGTTCTACCTTAAAAAACTAATATGAAGATAGCTGAAAAAATCTTGACATTTTAATCAGAAAAACATTCTTGTAAAATATGCTTCAAGTCACATTGTTATTTTCTCAACAACAGCAGTTAAACTGAAAAAAACATGTTTCCAGAAAAATGTGCCTTCATTCTCTCTGAAACATAAGCAAGCCTGCTAGACATCAGTGAAAAGACTTCTGGGAATCTGAGAAAGTGTGAAAAGCCTGGTGGATCAATGGCCGACTGTCCTGACTGAAGCGGTCTGTGCTCAACTGCAAAGGCAAACAACTACTGTCTGTATGTTTAACAAGGTATGAGGGCAGAACTGAAATTAAAATCTAGCTCAGAGAAAATGATACCGAGAAATGTTATTGATGTCCTGCATAACAACTTCCATAAAGGAGCTGCATTAGTCACCCTGAGGCCAAATGGACACTGTGGCTTGTAGAAACAAAGACTTTCTGGAGTACTTTGTTTTACCTTTAAAATAAGAAGTCATTTTCACGTCCATTAGCAGCTATTTTCTCAGTCGAAATGACATCTATCACACAGATAGTTTGAAGCCTTGTGTCTGCAAACACGAGTCACACTGATGTGTACTTAAGTCACCACTTCCTCACCTGAATCATAGCCAGCACATGTAACTCAAATCATTGCTCACACTCTAAACACTCAGCTAAAGATCCAAGTTCAGTTTTGTGTGCTCTCTTCAGTGCTCTTTAACCATAACAGGTATTTACCAGCAGCCCACTGTGAGACATATTTTGGTTTACACCCACTATTTCTCATAGCCTTCTCACCAAATATTAAACAATGCACTCTATAGTCAGCACACAACACAACAACTCTTATGCAACGGTGTTCTGGGCATGCAGGATTTTGTACATGTAAGGACATGTACAGACAATATTCCAGCACAAACTAAAAGAGGAAGACTGTACCCAGCCACAGATGTATACCAGTGGGCTTACTTTAGCCAGCTGCCAAAAACAACTGGATGAGCTCATTCACCGAGTTTGTTATTTTGCGTTCATTTGACGTCTATTTCTGCACGAAAAGCGGAAGTTGTTCTTCATCCCTTAGGAACATTTTGCATTCCCTGAGCTCATGTGAGCTGGAGGAAGTTGTATATGTATATGTATGATCATCTTTCAAGACCCTCAATTCTGTGTAGCTAAATAAGTACAAATAAGGAAATAAAACATTCATGCTTAGTGGTGTGAAGTGAATTGTCACTGTCAACATCCAAAGTAGAAAACCATAAAGATGTCAACATCTACTGATAACTGAAGGAGTTACAGAATTAGAGTTTGCACCAGCAGCAACACTAAATGCAAGTGACCTCTGGCTACACCGAGGGGTTACTATAGGAATCCTGACGCTGGTAGAAACATGAAGCTACAAAATTCAGCTCTAGTCAGCTGCTTTAAAGGGTGGGGGGTGGGATGAGGGGTTGCAGTGGGAGTGGTCTGTTACTCAAACACTTGACATTACAGCAAGTTGTCACACTGCTCTAACAAGCCAGAAAATGAGGGGGCACCATTAAGAGACTTCCTGTGACAGAATTTCTAACATACAACTGACATAACTACTGCAACTGTTACACCTGCCTGCAACTGCAGGAACATGTAGGCGGTTGGAAGAGGTGACGTATCGACATGAGGCCAAAACACTCAGCCCTGACTGAAAGCCTGCTAAGCCTAAGAAGCCAGGAGGGATCAACGGTCTTCACAACACTGACCAATGCAGTAACACAGCACTGACACACACACACTACACATTAAGCAAAAACACATGATAAAATCAACTACATCAGCATCTTCTGCTGCCAATATATTTTTCTCAGACACTTAAGAGTTGGTGTCACGAATAAGCACATTCTTGAGCCGAAAGGATGGACTAAACAGCCGTTTTAGATTTTGATGAAAACAAAAACATCCCGATGGCATAATGTTGCACAGATTTGAGAACCACTGATATAAAATATCAACATTTCTAATTATAGGGTTTCAAAGACTTCAGAATCGAAGTAATATCAAATTTTCAGTTTGAACTATTTTGTAATCAGAAGCGTCCGTAGGTTAAATCCTATTTAAGAAAGTAATGTCTCTATATTTTCATACAACACTCAAAGCTGTATGAATGCAGCAGCAAAGCAAAAGACCACAATATGAAGGGCACAGGATTATTTCTGTTTTCTTTTTTAGGAAAAATAGTTTTCAGCAATAGCAAAGGTCAAAAGTTTAATTACTGCAACTGTTTCTACTCGTCAAGTAAACACTGGGTAAAACACTACACCACACCGTGTTCCCTCATACAGTACGCAGCATGTAGCAATAAGCAATAATGCAAACAAGGAGGTGTCCTATTGGCTGCCACATCATGACATCATTACAACCATATTTGTTTTCAATACATAGTACAATATAGTGGACACGATAACGCTCTGAAAATGAAATCCACACCGACCTTTGACCCCAAGCGCTGCATCAGACCTTGACCAAAGTGGTTCTGGAAGTTGATGCAAAAGCATTTGACCCTTCATTTGTCATATGTCTCGGGTCACAAGTCCACTATGAATGGAAAATCCCTCACTGGAGAGGTGAACTGTGTGCGAGTTTGTTTGAGGAGTGGTAAGTGGGAAAGACCCAAGTGGATGCTGGGTGTTTATCTCAGACTCCACCCCCTCACACCTGTCCACCAAAACTAGCAGGGGACTGTGAGCTTTGACAGCTGTCTTCCTCCCTCTGTTTCAAACAGACCCCCAACACCACCACACAGAAAGAGCACAGAGAACAGGTGTAGAGCTCTCTGCGGAGTCAGTGGGTGGTTGAGGATGAATGTGATCCAGCTCACATGCCTGTGAATATTACATTAAATCATATATTTATATCATTCATTTGGATTCAGTGTGACTAATGCTGTACTGTGGTGTGCTGTGCTTACTCGGGTCAATCAAACATTGCTTGCAATCCAGACAGTCACTCTTATCGGGGTTTCGACATGGTTTGAAAATGTAAGACAGGAATAAAAGAAGTGAAGTGGAACTTAGGTTGAGAAATGTGTTGTTAGATGAACACAGCAGAAGACAAACTGCGAAGTAGATATGATCCAAACAAATCATCCAGTCCGAAGCAATCAAGGTGGTAGGAAGTAACGGACAAGATAACGAATCCATTGGGCCTCCTTGTCTAAAACACTTTTCACTGCACATTTTTACTGTTAGTCTCGATAAGATCATTTAAGTGTTTTCTCTAAATGCAGATACTATCAGCACTTACAGATAACACCTTATTTATTTTTCCTTATACCTTATATTTCCTATTCCTGTATGTCTCAACACATATCATGCTGAAATTGTACAAGATGCTCTGCGCAACTGGGATGACTTTTGCACATTGGGGGGATTTTAGGAGATTCCAGTCAGTTATTTTTCAAAGCTGAGAAGCCACCGGGGGCTGACTGCACTGGATGCACTTCTACATCATCAAGTGTGCTGCACCGACGTCTTGTTGTGAAATGATTCAGTTCATAATCAGCTAACACTCTACCATCTGCAGTTCAACGTGATGGGTAATACACACTCAGAAAATTAAATAACTATTGTAAAAACGTTAATTAATTCATTTATTAAATGCGGAATGAAAGTTTTGTCAAGAGGTTGCTGAAACATAGCTTCCCATTTTTCACTGTGATAACAATCAGCGTGCACACAGTTTAGAGAGTACACTAAAGCAAACTGTAATTCAGACCTTCACTATGATTTATGTAAAAACAACACTTACTCCTATATCTTTGTTTCCCGTTTTCATTGGATTATTTTCTCCTTGAGTTTAAGACACACCCTGCGAGTCCCCTCCTATGTAAGTGAGGGTTGAGCTGAACTAAACCGGACATGGCTTCACCCATAATGTATGCAATGTCATGCAACATTAGAAGCAATGCTGTAAAGCTGCAACGTGACTCAACAACATGCTCATAAACCACAGGAAGACAGGCAAGCTACCAAACTGTAGCCTTGTAACGCAACATGAACTAGCAGTAAAACAAACAATACACAAAAACATGTAAAATGGCCTTGATTGTTTTTGTTGTCTTTTGGATGAGCACATCAAATTAAATGTAAGTGTTTAGTCACTAAAATAAGGTTTTGCACAAACGTGTAAACCATTTGCCCCAGAGCCCCCTCTATGCTGTCCTTGCTAAGCAACACTTTACTGAGGTCTCAACCCTGACCTTTTTTCTAGATCAATCCGTTGACGCTGACCTTAAACACTGACAGAAGGACTTCAACCCCTCCAACTCCCCACCTCACTTGTATGGTTTACTACAGCACCATGTAAAGTTTAGTTTTAGTCTAGAACCAAGCACCTTTTAAAGGCATCTGAGCTTTGAACTGTATCTGAAAAAAGCCACGGTTCACTGACACGCTACGACTTACATAATTAAACTAAGAGTCTAAAGTCGTACTACTGGCTCCACAATGCTGTGTTTAGGGACAGCGACACTTTGAGCTAACCTCTATTGTCTCACCATGACAATGGTATCATCTTGAGGGAAAGCAGGTATCACATTTACCATAAGCACCACTTTATATAGCATGTAGCATGTCAGTCTGCTAATGTTTACCAATTAGCACAAAGTAAAGAGATTGATAAGGACCAGAATCAGGTTGACTTTGTAAACAGTTGCTTAAATGTGTAAACGTTGTAAGATTTTATAAGATTGCAAGAAAATATTGGAGTCTGAAGTTTCATGTCAACAGAGTAAATCGCACCACATGGTTTCCACTTTAACAGAGAAAGGATGTAAACGGCAATGCATATATAAACTCCTGGACATGCGGAGTGGCCGTAGCCCCTACAGCTGGCAGTTCGCTATCTGGACTGCGCACACATTCCTTCACGATAATGCGACCAGGGTGGCACCACTTGTTTTTAATAAAAGCGGCAAGCCCTCTGCCTCATTCCTTACCACCCTAAGATTTATTTCTGTCTGCCTGAACAGTCTGAAAGCTGACGACGGTAACGATGGGATCTGGAGTATTTTCCTGTATCCATGTCTCTGAAGCACATAACAGTACACTCACAAAAAAGTTCCTCTATGTCTCACTGGGCCTGTTAGCTTATCCATCTTATTGTTCAGGGTTCTCACATTGTCTGTGATGATAGAAGAGGAGATATGAGTTATATCTCCTCTTCTCTATCAGTCTGTGTTGTCAGGACCCTGCCTTTTTCCGTCACTGACTTGTTCTTCCTCCGCTTCCTCTGCATGTTCTCCTTCTGATTTCTGTGGGGATGTCCGTTTGTTATTCTGGTCACCATGCAACAGCAGCACCAGAAGTAATAATACGGGAAAATAAAGGGAAAAAAAAAAAAAACTGAACAGAAGCCTTCCAACCAGCATCCAGCATGTCCACAGATGGGGCAGCTCAAAAAGGTCAGCAGCAATAATCCAAACAAGTGTGACAAAGAAATAAAAATAAAAAATGTCAATGGAACTTAAGAAATACTTCATTAAGAAAGAAAGAAAGAAAGAAAGAAAGAAAGAAAGAAAGAAAGAAAGAATCCTGTCATCGAGGTATATTGGTTAAAAAAATTTTCAACAACTTTAGATTTGACTGGATGTTGTCATCAGCTTATTACATGGAGAGCCGAGTTTGTGTACCAGACTTCATGGAAATCAGTTACTGGGGTCACAGTGAATTGTGAGGTTCCACTCTTTTTACTTCCATACATGAACGCTGTAAGATATTACAAATACCTCTCAGTATGATGCAATCCAGTACAACACCATCACAACTGCTGACCGTAACACAACCTACTGTTACTAACCTGACTAAAACAAATAACCAGAGAGAGAGGCACATTTTTATCAAAAAAGGAAGTGATGTCAACTTGTCTCAGCTGCTACAGAGGAAATCCCACCCTCACCCACCACCCATTTTACTTCCGCTTGACACTCGTGTTTTTTTTTTCTTTCTTTCTCTTTCTATTTGTATCTTTGTTTTTCCTTTTTGCACCTCATCCATTTCAACCTCTTTTTCTCTTCAACAGAGGACAGACCCATGTTTCATCGGTTTTCCACCACAGATAAAAGGCAGGTTGTTCTCAGCCTGATCCAGCTCATCGATCTGTTGGTCTTTTTTTATTGAGACTGGTCTGTCTGAAGACAAACTCATCTTACGAAGGTCAAAGAATCCTTTTTTCTTATCTTGCTATGGGTGCTGCCCAAACACAGACATATACGTGTCAACATCTAAAATGTTTCAGACTATTTCTCTTCGAGCCATTGCTCATAGACAGACTGAAATATGTTGACATGGCAACAACCCACCGCTTGCTGCACTGACAAGTGAACTCATATTGTTTTTAGGCTACCATTGCATCACCAATCAAAGAAAGGCAGTGTTGGTCAATCTACTACTGTGGTCCAGAATAAAAATGACTCACCAAATGCGAAACAGATTTTCCAAAAGTTGTTGTGCAGACGTTTATAATTCCCACAGGATACGTTCTAATATGTTCGGCCAAAACCTTGTTTATGACCTACTACTTCATGCATTATCACCGAACACATGACATTTCAGTCTCATTTGTACTTGTGCAAGAAACATGGTGACCACAGTTCACCCGTCTTCCCCCGGTGAAACTGGATGAAACGAGTATCACATCATCACCATACCTGTGGGGTTTTCTTTACAGAACCAATAACAGTTGGAATTCCCACAGAAAACCACAGCTATTTACACACACACCACTGTTGTTCAGCTTTTTCTTTCTTTTTTTTGCCAGCTATATGCTATATCAGTCTGGGCAACAAATAAAACAAAGTCTAATAAAAAATTAAAAAAAATCTCTTTTTCTGCATTAAGATCTTTTAAAGCCTAGCTGGGCCCTAGTTTGCTAAGTGTCTCACTTCTCCCATCTCTGTGTCCTAATGTTAAACCACTTTTAAACAACTGAAATTAAACGAAAACAAGTCTAAATCCAAAGTTTCTCAAGACTTAAATGCCCATTTCTAAAACATAAACTTTGTATTAAAAAAAATAGAAGCAGGCTCTGAGTATCTTCAACAACAGTCAGAATACAACTACTCTTAATGTCAGGTTTCAGTGAACATTAGAGCACCGAGCCAGCCGTGACACGTGTCATGGGTGACATTTGTATTAGTAGCACTACTCAATCTTGACTGAAAACCTATGCAGACAGACTGTCAGCTGATTGTAACGTTCACATTTGTCAGCCTTTGAATATCAAAAATTCTCTGGCATGAAAAGGGCCAAATAGATAAAGATATTTAATATCAGTGAGATACAATCATAGGATATGAAGTTCCAGAAATCCCAGTATCTGCAAACACAGTCCAACTCTTGACTTCGCACTTCAGACCATCTAAAAGATAATATAGAACGTGCAAAAAACTGGCAAACTGAGGCTGTTATACTGACTTCACAGAACGTATTAGAACCAACAAGAAAAAGCTACTGTCCTAATGCTAAGACTCAAGTCATGTAAGTTCCTCTTCTGTGTGTCTGTGATACTTCAGTCAGACCGTCTGAAAGGCTACCAGGCCAAACACCAGTTTTCTGTCACTCCAAACAAATGGGTTTCATAACATACAACAACACCTACTATAAACAGTGATGCATAAATGACCCAGTGCGACACATTTGTTCTGATAGCAAGTAACTTTGCAGTGTATCTCATAGCAATATGCAGACGCACACAACAAAGCACAGAAACGTCATCATTCAGAGGACATTGACAATGTCCAAAAACAATGACCAAAAATACAGCGGCTGACGGTAACTCTTACCTGAGTGTTGAGTGTTGCAGGGCTGATGGAAAGACGCCTCTCTGTCTCGGTGGATCTACAGAGAAACAGGAAGACACTGAATCAGCCTCAGCAACATGTGATCGTCACCCACAGAGAAATAATGATGCAGACTAGCGTGTCTATTAGGAAGTGCTCCTCAGTACAAAGGATGGGAGGCAACGATAAGACACCCTGCAACAGCGGTCTTAAGAGTATACACGGGATTAAGTAGCTACGCTCAGGCTCTATCACGCCCCAGAGGAACTGTTTGGAAAGATCCAACTTTGGTCGGTCTTCAGCCTTGAAAACTCACAGTCACACTGACACTACTGACACTAACTCAAACACTCGGACACACACACACACACTGCCTGTCACAGAACTGTGGTTGGCTGTGAACACACAACGCTGTGGCTCTGCTTCCTCTGTGGTCTCAATGTCTATACAACAGCTGTGTGTGTAAGTAAGTGTGCATGTGTGTGCGTGTGCATGTGTGTGTGTGTGTGAGCTGGTTTTAGCTACAAAAGCCACAGGCACCCACCGCCCCTCTCCGAAGGCAACACAAAAGCTTCAACAGTTTGGCCAAAGCTGTGCAAATCTGACTGACAGCTCTGAATGTGAAGCTAACAGAGACTCAGAGAAGCTCATTGTGTTTTAATAAACTCTGTCAATGACACAAATATAAAGATGATGAGCTCGGGCACTAAATATGTCTCTCATAAAAACCAAATAAACCAAACACAGATTAATAATCTATTAATAAAGCAGAGACCTTGATTACAAAGCATAACTGAACACATAGCTTTTTTAAAATATATATTTAGGGATCTAGTGATTTCTGAACTGAGCTGAAGCTACTGTAATTATGTCAATTGATGGTACATCCTTTAAAATGTGTCCTCCTCCATTGGTTTGCTCCATCCTTTTTTTAGCTTGTTTCCCTCATCTTTAATTCTTCCCATTTAACTCCCAAACCCAGTAAGCTCAGGTTAAGCCGGGCGCAGATCAACAGGCTTTAGCATTACCCTTTAAACTAGGCTGTGTAAGATTTGTATAAAGGCACCTCAGAATACAGTATAAACAGGTCCCTCATCTAAAGGCCACAACCTTTCTTTCAAAGGAGGAATTAGTGGAACAAAACAAAGATTCTGTACTAACACAGGCCACCAAGTCTGCTTTTCAGTTTCCCTCACTGTACGCTGTAATTCCAGCCACTATGGATCCTGTAGCTTTCATCAGATCAGTGGGTGTGGGGAGTGCTTTGGTGTATTAAGTCAATTAACCTTGTTTTTGTGATGTTGAAAAGAACGTGAATTAAAACAACTATTTCTGGGGTGAGGTGACGAGTTTAAGTAGGATATAATGTCTGACTAAATGAGGATCCAAATAAGAAAATGCTAATGTAAGAGAACAGGACTGCAGCTACTAATTCAGAATGTGTTTTGCCAGGAGTTATGGGGCGCCAGCATGCAACTATCTATCAAAAAAAATTGGTCAGGTTCCACTTAACATTTTCATTGGTCACAATGATGTGCCTGGCATTTAGCAGGTCTGTTTCTGTGTTTCTCTGGGCGTTCCCCACAGGTAGTTAAAGTTACTCTGTTTCAGTTTTGGTAAATGTTACATTAGAATGACTGATTTTATTCTTTTCAAAGTAATGTTTAGACAGACAAGTAAATTCTCACACTGTGTGCAGCCAAAGCAGAACTGGCCGGGCATCAACATTCCAAATTGAAGACATTACCACTCTACATAAGAACTGGAGGAAAAAAAAAAGGTAACACTTAAAATGTATAATTCATGGTGAAAATTGTTGGCTGCACCAAAATGATGTGCTGGTGCAATTAAATGAAAAAAGTTAGATACACCACTGTAACCACTGTAAAAAAAAAAAAAAAAAAAGTTAAACTGAAGTTCTGAGTTAGATGAGAAGCTCAATGTCACACTTATGTCTGAGTGCTAAATATGGAGCTATAACTAGCAGCTGATTAGCTTAGCCTTTTTCAAAAGTAAGAAATTCCACCAACAAGCACCTTTAAACTGTCAATTAAGTACTTACTTGTTTAATTAGTTCAAAAACCAGAGTATAAATAAAATACTGATAGCAGAGGAGTTCTGTACTGGGCTGCTAGCTGGTTGGATGCAGTGGTTTCTTGGTGTCCTGTGACCGTTACCAGCAGACACTGAAAAATGCCCATTGCTATTTCACAGAGTGCAGGATGACATCTTTTTTATGTAGACCAACAAGCCCACACCCCAAAAATATTCCACTTTCAGATATATAATGAAAGGGAAATGACACATACCTTAACATCTTATTCAGAAGCTGAAATAAGGACATGTTTGCATTTTAAAAATTATAGGATTTTGGTGAAATCAAACGCCCCTTTATTGTGGCTATTCATCGTTAGCATTTTATAGCAGGAGCCTTTCAATGTCTTTACATTTTAAAGTTACCCCTCAGCATCGTAGTTTCATTGTAAATGGCTGACTGTAAAACAATGCAACAATAACAGATGATGATACAAAAAAAGAGAAAAATAAATTGAAACTAAACTAGACCTAATACACTGGAGTTATGGAGTAAAATAGAGAGCAGAGACCGAAACAACAAAGTGACAAGTCAAGAGATTAAAAAAAAAAGAACTCAGACATTAAGTGGAGGAGGATGAGTGAGTCCCAACCACCCAGCAAGGTCGACCTTCCCAGAGAGTCTAACCCTCTCCTGTCCCAGTGCTCTCTATTGACAAGCCTGCTGAGATCCAGAGAAACACTGAGCGCTGTTGTCCACGCCTGGGAGTGGTGACTGTTTCAAAGCACCCGCAGTGACCGTACACTTTTGCATTCCTACAAACACTCTGACAACTACTTGCATACCAACTGGCACCATGTGCAGGCACCGACATGGCCAACAGTGTTGCATGCGCATGACAAATACTTACCTATGCTCCTTTTTTTCCCTTCATCAAGTCTCACGTGCACACACACACACGCACACACACACCCACACACACACACACACACACACACTCAGATGCATACAGAGAACACACAGGCTTGTTCTTTTCTCACAGCTGTGTTCAGATATCAAACAGAGCCCGCTGAGAGAGAACAAACACGCTGACGAGGAAAGATTAGCTGGTCACAGAGGGCGCCAGTACACACACACACACACACACACACACACACACACACACACACAATTACAAACACACAGACCTAGATGCATATAAAGGTTCTGGTCAGAAGTACAACGACTGCTGGTGACTGCAACAAAGAGGAGCAAAGGCTACACGGCCTGACCTTAGAGGAGAACAGTGACAGCAGAACTTCAGAAACAGAAACAAAGCACTTCAAAATAAAGGAAGCAGCAGCAGCTTTATGTGTTTTAATATACTGTTTACCCACTGTGAGCCTCCAGACCGCTTCAGTGTGTTTTGGCACTGGCTATACAAAGAACTGAACTCTTAGGCATGATGGGGTATGAAGTGAACACTTCTCCTAGGAAGTGGACTCACAGTATGTGGAAATATCTGCTATTAATACAAGTTATATATTACCCATGCGCGTCCCCCATTTTGGCAGGTGGCAGGTGAAAGGATGAATGGTGCTTTCATGATTGAAGAAATAGTAAATAGAGTTCAGTCTGGACACAACAGAAGCGTCTCTGATTTCAGACACAGCATTGACTTCTTGCTACTGCACCTTTCAACTCATAACTCCTAATTCACCTCAGTGATGAATGTTGCAGAGCGACCCTGACACTGCCACATAATTCAGTGATTTGATTAAGGACCAGATGCTTGAGCCATTTTTGTGATTATTACATCCAGAAAAGCATCCACTCAAGGTCAACAATAAACTGCCTCGCAATTTATCGGTCACAAAAATTATGAGACACACAAAGGAAGGTAAAAAGTCAGAGACATGTGCACAAGTATATGATACACACAAAAAGAGTGTCAACAAGCGAGGAAGCCACGCATTGAAGCAGTCAGCAAATCACATATTCATCCAAACCAGTGTTCCAGCCAGTTAGCAGGCCTGCAAAACAGTCAGTTAGCCAACGAGGAACCGATCCCCCATCTGAAAGCTGGCAGCCCAGATTCTGAACGGCCCAGTGCATATTTGTAGTGTCGGGGGAATCTAAACTGTACCCAGTAAAAACACATCTGGTTTAAAAATAAAAAGGCGGGATGGTGTGTGTGTGTGTGTGTGTGTGTGTGTATACCGGGGCACGCAGGACTTGGACTACTGCCTTGTTTCTAAACAGGCAGGCAGCCAGAGTGGGTCTGCAGCACTGAAGGATGCCATGGCTGACTGAATGACCAGGCGTGTATATGTGGTTTGATCCCTGAGGCCGGCTAGCAGCAGACCTGGGGATGGGCTATTGTCTGGTGCACCTTTGAGATAAGCCACTGGCAGAAGGACTTTGTCTTGAATTGTTCTTTTCAGAATGATTTCTTTCAAGATTAACATTATAACGAGATTAACAGAAAAAAATAGAGGTTTCAGCCATGAATACAGAAGGAACAACTATCCTTAAATAACCGAGAATGCTACAGGAAATACAGAAGTGACCAAAGAGGGAAAAGCAGATATGTGAGAAATATGAGAATTGTTTTTCCAGCCTGTTCAGAGAGCATGCTTGCTTTCTATTTATCAAACCATGTGAGAATATACACATGTATATCTGGTAATATTATTGTAGTTGCTATAAAGGCTTTTTTGCAGTTACTGTACTTAGTAAGTGGAGTGATGATGATGTGTTTTGTGACTCCAGGCCAGGAGAGATGCTGGGATGTGAAACGCTGGGTGGAATGAAGTCATTTGGCCAAATGCCTGTTTCCATCCCAGGCCAGAGGAAACCGTTAGGCTGGCGTTGCCTTTTTCCCACACCACCATATCTCTCTCACTCTCTCTGCTCCTCTGTCCGTCGCACACACATACACATCCTTGCTATTTCACCCCTCTGGTGAAAAGAAGAGCTGACATTAAGGACGGGTTTAGAAAGTGACAATAGACCAGAGAGAGGTGTTACATACACCAGAGCAA